GTAGGGCAATTCTTATCTGCTATCTTAGATTTTGCAATCTACAATAGTTTCCATCAAAGCTGGGTACTGGTGGCTCACGTCTGTAATCCTAGCTACTCAGGAGGCTGAGATCTGAGGATCACAGTTCAAAACCAGCCTGGCAGGAAAGTCCGTGAGACTCTTATCTCCAATAAACCACTAGAAAACTGGAAGTGGCACTGTGGCTCAAGTGGTAGAGCTCTTGCCTTGAGCTGCAGAGCTGAGGGACAGCACCCAAACTCAGAGTTCAAGCCCACGGCTGACAAAAAAAAAAAAAAGTTTCCATCAAAGACTTCAACAATTATTACTACATTTTAGGGTTCCCTTGGTATAATTCAAAATATGGGAGGACTGTCCCCAAGAATAGCCATTGCACTTTTCAGTAATGATTGTCTTGTATTCTTGTTTGTATTCTCAGTGCTTTGTTGAGATTCTCAGACCCAGATATCTAATCAAATAGTTATCTCCCATTTCCCCTCAGATATCTTAATGCTACTGCCAAGTCAGTATCTCCATAAGACATTAAAAAACAAAAATCTCTTCAAAGGCCTCCTACAACCTGGTCTTCCTATTTTCCCCAGTCTTGTGAAAGGTATGATTACTGTTGCACAAGTTTAAAGATGAAATAATTATTTCTTGGAGACAAGGTCTTGCTATGTTGTCCAGGCTGGCCTTGAACTCCTGGGCTCCAGTGTTCTGCGTGTCTCCCAAGTAGCCAGGACTACAGGCACTTGCTCCTGTACCCACAAGAGAAGTAACACTTCATATGTTTTCTTCGCACTACCAATCCAATTACTTTCCAGTCCTACAGATTTTATTTGCTATGTATTTCTTGAATGTGTTCACTTATGTCTATCTACTTAGATTTTTTTTGAACAAGGTTAATATGAAATATGTGTTGCTTTGTTCTTGTATGAGCTGACATGGGTTTTGGTAGCTCTGAATTTTACTACTGTAGCTATGGTTTCAAATGATAATGTGACATCAGTGAGTTGAAAGAAAGGTAAACTTCAGGGAAAGTACTATTTTCTTTTGCTCCCTTACAATTACACCTGTTACTTCTGATGATCATAAGTCCTTAAGATGAACTACATAGGAACTCTATGATGCTGTATATATGCATTTGGATTGTTTGAATTGTTAGGATGAAGTTCAAAATGGAGCAGATGAGAGAAAAAGTTCTAAGAAGTAAGCTAAAATCCAGAGCATGAAAAAAAGTGAACTAAAAGGTAGGTAGTAGGCATGAACACTGTATTCACAACTAGGTTACATCTGCCCTAGCTAGGCTATTGTAGCCAAGCAATATTTAATATTGCAGTAATGATTTGCCAGGAGTTCTAGATAACCATATCTAGAGTAAATATCTGAAGAGAAAAAAATTTGAGCAGGGTGTGGATGGCTCACATCTGTAATCCTAGCTACTCAGGAGGCTGGAACCAGGATGATCTCAGTTTTGAAGCCAGCTGGGGCAGAAAAATCCAGAGATCCTCATCTTCTATTGACTAGTGAAAAGCTGGGCTGTAGGAATGGCTCATGAAGTAAGAGCACCAACCATGAGCAAGCCAGTAGATCAAGGGCATGAGGACCTGAATTTAAGCCCCAATAGTTTTTTAAATAAGGGATATTTCAATAAAGGAGAATAAACCTTTCTTCTCTAAGTACCGCTAAGTACCTGGGAGATTCAGACATATAACACCCATGTCAAGTAAGGAAACTAGGTTTTTCTTTTTTCTTTTTTTTCTTTTTCTTTCCTTTTTTTTTTTTTTTTTTTTTTGCCAGTCCTGGGGTTTGAATTCAGGGCCTGGGGACTATCCCTGAGCTTCCTTGCTCAAGGCTAGCACTCTACCACTTGAGCCACAATGCCACTTCTGGCCTTTTCTGTTTATGTAGTACTGAGGAATTGAATCCAGGGCTTCATGCATGCTAGGCAAGCACTCTACCACTAAGCCACAGTCCTAGCCCAGGAAACTTGGGTTTCCAGGAATCCCAAACTTACTCGTTTTTAAAAATAAGATATAACCACATGCTAGTGGCACACACCAGTAATCTTAGCTAATCAGGAGGCTGCAATCTGATGGTCCTAGTTCAAAGCCAGCCAAGGTAGAGAAATCTGAGATTCCCAACAAACCACCAAAGAGTCAGAAGGGGAGGTGTGGTTCAAGTGGTGGAATACCACCCTTTCATGAAAAAGCTATGGGACACCACCCAGGCTTTGAGTACACACATACACACACAAACCACATCATAAGCTGATCAAAAGGAAAGCGAGTGCACCTTTTTAGGCCCTACATTGAGCCTTCTACTTGCCTTACTTCGCCTTTCTCATGTGCCCAATGAGGATGTGCCTTGTTTTCCTGCTTTGCGAAAGAAAACCTATAACCTTACATAATTAGGCTAAGACAAATTCATTTCTGTGACAAATGTCACAAACTCAGTTGGCATGGGTGCCATGAAACTACACGGGGTTTATGCACTCTAGGAACCTCCGTGGCTTTGAACCAATTAACCAAATTTCTCATTGCAATGACTCTAGAAATCAAAACCTTAGTTCTGTTCAGTACAAAGCAGAACTATGATTTTTCAGGCAGCCTACTGAAGATGTTAGCCTTTCCTCCTCCACCTTCTTACCGAGTCCGCTACCTTAGACATTAGGCAAAAACAAAACTGCCTTTCCTTGAAAACAGGTGCCACAGGCTTTTATTCCTGAAAACAAGTGATGCAGGAAGGTGCGATCTTAAATGGCAGCCCCTCCTCAAAATGCAACTTCCCTCTCCCTCGTTTGTGCGGCTATAACTGTAAATGTTAACCTCTTCCACTAGGCAGTTTCCTGCTTTCCCGTTCCACAGGAACCCAGCCCTGTAACTGTGCTCATAGCTCCTCCCAGCTGCTACTATGCCCACAAGGTAGCCTGTCATTAAAACTCCATTAAAATTAAAAACTCCTTTAAAAAAAAAAATCCTTTTCCTTTGTATGTGACCATGTGTCCTAGTGATTTTTCTTGGGAAAGCCTTTCAGAAGGTGTTTGTCCACCCATGGTGCTTTGTACTGATCAATATGATTGATCTTTCTTCTCTTCTGAAAATTAAGGCCTGCAGATACTGCGATTCCACTGGGCTTCACTTGATATTACCTTTGGGCCTTAGTGCAAATAGATCTCTGAGAGGCAGTTGGGTGGGAATGAACTCACTGCAATGCCCTGAGCACCATAGGGCGGGAGCGGCCACGGCTTTACCTGTGTGGCTTTGATCAAAGGGAACAGTGGCACTCAGTCCACGGGGGAGAGGAGGGAATGGATCCAGGAAGGCTTTCCTGGTGGTCCGGGAAAGCCAAGCACCAAGTGACAGCAAAGCCACTTCAGCAGGAAAACTTGGATTAATGGGAAAGTAAGGTGTTTTTTGGTGTGTTGTTTTATTTCTCTACAGCCTGCTCTACCTCGGAGCTGCAGCCTTGGTTGCACAATTTTCCTGAGTTTGGCTTTTAGAAAAACAAAACAAAAACAAGAACTATATCATGAAGAACCTGCGCACCTGCCCCGCCCACAACCCCAAGCCCCTCGCGGGGAGACACGGCCCGATTTCTGGACATTTTCCAATATTTTTCTTTTTGATTGCGACGGAACTTCTGCTAGGACTTACAACACACCGGAAGCCCGGGCGAGGGTCGGGTGGGACTGGGTTTCATCTGTGAATTTCCCCTCCTGCAGGCACTGCCATAGACAGCCCCGACAGAGCGTGGCTCGGGCGCGGGGCGGGGGGGGGGGGGGGCGGAGGGGGGTCCTGCGTTTCTATGACTACGCAAAGACGTTCCAGTAGGAGGCGGGGCGGCCGGATACCTGGCGGGAAACACAACTTGCGGGTCTGGGCCGCGGGTGTCCGTTTGTCGTTGGTTTTAAGGAAGAAAGGACTTTTCGTCCTGCCCAAGCCCGGAGTGTATGGAGCGGCAGTGCATCCGGGCACTGTTTGTGGGGGAGCCTGGGGACTTGCCCTGAGCCCCCGGACCGAGCTGAGGGTCGTCTCCGGCCCCGCGCCCGACGCCGAGAACAGCCGTGGAGGCGTCCGGCTGCGGCCTGCGTTCACGTCCTTAGCTAGCCTCTCCTCGGTCCGTTCCTTTGTCTTGGCTTGTAATGCCTCCAGGACAGCGGGGCATCCTGAACGTAGGAGGCCCCGTAGGAGGCCGATTTGTTCCCCAGTTAACTTTCTGGAAGCATATTTCAGAGTGCGAAGACTAAAAGGAGCCATTGTTTTATTATGTCTCTCCTGAAAAGCCCCACCACCACGCCGCCCTCGGTATCGCCATCTGATGGCAAAAAGTCAAAAAGTGTCGACAAGGAGTCAGTAGGTAAACCTAAAGGATCCTGCGACATAAACTGCCGTGGTTATGAACAGAACTCACCATCCACCGTTTTTCTGGAGTACCCTTTTGTTGTTGTTTGGTTGGTGTGTGCGTGTGTGCCAGGCCTGGGGCTTGAACTCAGGGCCTGTCCCTAAGCATCGTTTGCTCAAGGCTAGTACTCTACCACGGAAACCACAGCGCCACTCCCAGTTTTTCTGTGTATATGGTATTGAGGAATCGAACCCAGGGCTTCGTGCTTGCTAGGCAAGCACTCTACCAGGAAGCCACCTTCCCAGCCCTCCACTTGTTTGTTTTTGTTGTGTGTTTTCTTCGGGGGAGGGGTATGAGTGGGGTGAAACAGGCTCCCTGGTTGCCCTTGATCTCAATCTCCTTTTGTCTCAGCCTCCTTAGTGCTGGTTTTACTGGTGTGAGTCACTATGCCAGCCCATTCACATTTTCTCTTCGTCTGAAATTCAGGGCATCTTAATTATCTATGTCTTCCTGCCACATTTGTCTAAATAAAACACCATAACTTGTATAGTATTTTTTGAATCAGAATCCTGTTTCACTACTACCCCCTAAGGACTATGTTTATACTTTTTTTTTTCAAGTATACACTTTTTAATATTGTTTTAAATATCAATAATTGCATGAAACAGCATCTGTTTTGGCACCTGGTCTTTGACTTTAAAGAAACTTTTAAAAAGGCAATTAGTGGAGGTAAGCTAAACACATGCAATTTAGTACATGTCTATTTGTATCAGGGGTTAGACCTTGTTCTAAGAATAATTGCTTAAGATTTTCATTTATGTACAAATGAATACAAATTTGTTTCAGACTAAGTCTCAAAGTCATCTTTACCTTGATGAGGCTAAAGCTCTCTCTCCAGCTTCACCTTCACCTATATTTTAATGGTGGTATTGGAGTTTCAATTCAAGGACTTTGGTAGCTTTGTTTGCTCGGGTGGTACTTTACCACTTGAACCATGCCTACACCTTTTTTACTGATTATTTTGGAGATGGAGTCTTTCAGACTTTTCTGCCCATATTGACTTGGAATTGAGACACTCTGGATCTGTCTCCTGAGTAGCCAAGGATTACAGTCATGAGCCACCAGCATCTGGCTCCCACTTTTGACTTTATATAAGAAAAGAATATTACTAAGTAGCATGACAATTTGGAGAGATTTATCATTTCCACATCAAGGGAGTCATCTTAAGACTATTCCAATAACTGAGTTAGTGAACTGAGTTTATATTTGAATTTGTATTAATGCAGGTTCACCTGTATATTTGAGATTTTGAACCTATGTTTGAGGCAATGTTTCTAGGGAAGGAAAAGTTGATTGCATTATTCTTGACAAGATGGTATTCAGTGATTTAGATATTGTTACTGTTATTCCCTAGAAGCCATCTTTCCCTCTGATAGAAAAATACAGATGAGATCAATGAGGCAGTCTAGGAAGTTCCATTTAATTCTCCAAAATACTACAGTAAAAACTTTTCTTTCCCATTACTTTTGTAGGACTTCCTGAGCTAAAGGAGAAAACAAATAATGTGGATAATTCCAAACCGTTTTCCACTTCTCTCCAGAATGAATTCATCCCCGAGGAAGTTCTTCTTTCTCTAACCTCTGCAGCTAATGCTGGCCCCTGTCCTGAAAACTTATTGCCTTCTAAGAAAACTAAAACTCCAAAGGTGACTATGTACTTATATAGAATATTTGATATATATAATATATATTTTATATTCTAGACAGTATTAAACTTTAAAATGAAAGAGTTGTATGGTAAGAGAACACAGAGATGCCACATTTTGAGAGGTTGATTTGCAGCCCTTATTGGAGTGCTGGTGGTCTGCAGATGGACTCCTGTCACAGATCTGCAGCACAGCAAACACACTTAACACTGTTAGAAAATTGAGCCATGAGATGCAGAGAGGAAAGAAAGAGCAGAAACACGGTACCAACAAACCAGACTAACTTCAGTGGGGAGCTGAAGTGGGACGCCACATTGACCAGAGGAGAGCCAGGAGACAGGAACAGGAAGACACCAAAGACATGTGGCATGGCATAATGGCCACTGAGCTGGTCTGTGCTTAAATAGGGTCAGATCAGGGGGCAGGGTCACAGGGAGCTTGGGAGTTCATGACCAAAGATTGGCAGGTCCAGTAACCTGTTGTCCAAGTCCCCGCCCCTGCCTCTTGGAATTCAGGCACACCATCACTGGGAGGTGGGACTTCCCCTTCCTCCACCATGGAGACAAAATGGCGCCAGTTAAACCCAATACCCTATCTGCTATGGGGCCAAGAAGGTGTCGGTTAGACTTAGCCTCCCCATCTCAAAAGCTCAGATCTTATGCAGGAATATTCTCAAGACTTTGAGTATTTTCACAAATGTGGGTTGGGTTTTGTTTTTTTTTTGTCCTTTTTTTCAAGTCACCTTATGAGTACCATGTTTGTTGGTCAGTTTTACCCTTTTCATTGTTTTCTACTATCTTTACAAACTCTATGTGTTTTAATGTAAATTTACTAAAATGATCATTACTGTTCTTTTGGTCTTATTTTCATTCCTATAGAATTGTTCTAGTTTCAGTCTTTCCCCATGTTACTGAATAAAAATTCTGTTTTCTTAATATACCAATGCCCTTAATATAAAATGTTCAAAATAACTACCAGGAAGCTGGCACTTGAGAGTTATGTGGTATGTCCTCTGGGGAAATGGCCCCTTTTCTTTGTTTTCTCTCCGTGGGAAACCATACTTAGACCCCTTCCTCTTTGTTCTCTCTCTCTGAAAAACTGCCTGTGGCCCTCCCTGGAAGTCCCCACCCAGTACCTGTAACCCCAGGTAACTGGTCACTGCACAGCTGGGTGTTAGTGGGAGGTCCCCTAGACTCTGAAGTCACTTCCTTATGAGCTGAGGTCACACCTTTTTCTTGCCCTTCCTTATATAGTCTCTCTCTGCCCTTAGTTTGAGGTGCTACACCCTACCCTAGAGTGCACCCTAGTTGTCTGGCTCTCCCAATAAACTCTTTTCTGCCTGAACCATGTGGTTGTATCCTTTTGGCAACTATTACATGTGGGAGAAGCCAAGTGAGAGGGGGTGGATTAACAAAGAGAGGAATGTGTGTGTGTGTGGGGCGGGGAATGTGTTATACTGGAATTTGATCAGATACAGAGAAGCCACATTTTGAGAGGTCAAATCAGGAGTCTTTATTAGAAAGCCAGCAACTGCAAGTGGACTCTTGCCCCTCCGGCCCCTCCCCACATACAAACTAGTATCCCTGAATGTAGCTGGCACAAAGCTTATAAATGCAAAAACCACATGATTGGGGGTGGGGACTAAACCTAACAAAAGTGTTAGATATAAGTAAAGCAAACTAGGTGAACAATCGGGCAATCAAGAGCAAGTATTCTCTGGAGCAAAACTGTCCTGGAGCTCAACGACATTGCTAAACATGCAATTCAAAGAATGAACTATTTCACCTTTAGAGTTCTGAACTGGCTGAAAAGTCCCCATCATCTATTAAGACTCCCGGATGTGGTAAGGACAAGATGATTTTACTTAGACCCAGAATCCATATTTCAAGTGTACTCATAGTCATAATATTTAGGGCATATTCTATGAAATTAGGAAAATTGTGAGGAGGGGTATGGTTAGGAAGGATGAGGGAGATAAAGGAGAACGATGAAAAGAGTGACATTGATCAAGATACATCGTATTTATCAACTGACATGTTGCATAGTAACCTCTTAGTGTAACTAAGATTAAAAAAAAAAATTGGTTGATTCTATTTGACTAGTGCGCCCTCTTCTGGAATTTTGTGAATTTTTTTTTCCTTCAGTGTACCCTTCCACGTACTGCAGATCATGTCTGGCAGCACCCTGTTCGAAGGAATAGATTCAAATACCTGATTGATCATCCTGTCTCTCTAACTGGAGCTGGAAGGTAAAGAAGGAGGAGGATGGGATAGATACAGATAGTCATTTTCTCGTTTTGCATGATAGATTTTGGAGGGGCAAGATTGGAAAAACTATAGAATCATGAATTATGAAACTTAAAGTATCTATGTTAAATCAGTACAATCTGTAAGGTAAAGGACTATCTTCTTGTATATGATTATTAATAGTATAAAATCTGTAGGTTCTGACTGTCCATACCTTTAAATCTGTTAGGGCTTTTGCATGCTTTTGCCCCTGTACTCCTACTCCTTATTGTACCCTTCTAAGAGGGACAAAATTTAGTGCTCCCAGCATCTTGTCTGTGAAGGTGTTTATTTGTCCATCATAGAGGAAACATAGCTTCTTGATATGGAAAACCTTGGAGAACTGGGGCTTGGTTCCTGGTTCTCTTCAGAGGGAATTCATCGCCATTATGCCACTGTAGACATGTTCAGATCAAATAGTGTTTTTGTATAATTCATAAGAATTTTCTAATTGTCAAAAATGTTTGGATACTTTCTAAACATTGTCCATTTATCATTTTAGACCCTTGTGTCTCTGCTCTTCTGTATCTTTCACCTGGGTAGGTTGTTTAGTCTTTTTGAAGTTACTTTCTTGATCTATCGTGAGAGAACAGTAGACTTGCTCACTTTTGCATGCCTTCTAGGTGTTAAGAAGCACAGGTGAGGTAATGAATGGAAAAGAGCCTGTAAATCCTTAAAGGGCTATTAAGTATGGGGTCTGACTACTCAGTGGTGGCAGTTCTAGAAAGAGTGGCTAGAACTTGACTTATTGACTTTTGTGTCCTGGGGCTTTAGCTCTCAAGTATCTGTACTTTGTTCTGTGCCTTTAAAACATGGCTGTTATTGATAATAATTACTAGTTACAAGATGTTTGGAGTACTTTGAAAAATAAATTAGGTCTATCTAAATGTGACAAAAAATCCACACAAAGGTTTTAATGTCAATATTCCTGACTGGTATGTTTTGAAATATGAAGTTTATGCCGGGCACTGGTAGCTCATGCCCGTAAATCTAACTATACAGGAGATTGAGAACTGAGGATTGAAGTTTAAAACCAATCTGGACAGGAAAATTAGTAAGGCTCTTATCTCCAATTAACCACCAAAATGCTGGCACTGGAACTGTGGCTAGAGTGGTAGACTACCTGCTTGATCCAAAAAACTCAGAAACAGTGCCCAGGCCCTGAGTTCAAGCCCCAGTACTGTAAACAATTTTTTTTAAAAAGTGAAGATCAGGTAGAAACATAAGAACCCCTTCCTACTAGTCTTATTGTAGTCCTAGAGCCTATGAGCACAAGCCTCACATGGCCAACAAAACTTTGCAGATGTGGTAAAAGTTAAGAACCTTAAGAGAGGGGTTATCCAGATTGTCATAGTGAACCCATCCTAATTACCTGGTTAAAAGTGGAAAAGAAGCAGTAGTCACAGAGATGTATCAGAAGCAGATGGGGATTTGAAACATAGGAGGGGTTCCACCTTCCATCTCTGGCTGTGAAGAGGGAGAAGGGATGCCACAAGCCAAGAAATACAATTGTATGTTAGAAGCTGAGACTTCCTATGACAACTAAAGGGGTAAATACCATGAAAGCAAGGATCTCAATCCTACAATGGGCAAGGCAGCAAATCGGTTCAGATGAGCTCAGAAATGGGTCTTTCTCTAGTGTACCCAGGAACACAGCATATTAGCACCTTAATCTTAGCTCTATGATACCTGCTTTGGACTTGTGACTTGCAGAACTATGAAAAATTTATTGTTTAAGCTAAGTTTGGAGTAAGTTGTTATGGCACCAAGACTAATAAACATACGCACAAATGATAGTAAATGCTAAGCGGTAACTTGTCCAATGACCTCAAAGGACCAGAGCACAGCTGTAAAATACAAAACAAATATCATCTAGCTTATGTAGTAAATATAACATATTAGATACATAGCATATAATAGTCATACATATATCCATATATACTTATATACATACATACTTTGGGCAGTATTAGATTTGAACTGAGGGCTCTTCACATTTGCTAGGCAAGCACTCCATGTGTTGAGCCACCACATACCCCTTTTTGTGTCGGTTATTTTCAAGATAGGGTCTTGATTTGTGCCTGTGCCAGCTTGAACTGTGATTTTCCTATTCGTGCTTCCTAGTGTTATTCTGCAATTCATTTTTAGATATAGAGAAGCCACATTTTGAGAGGTCTAATCGAGAGTCTTTATTAGAAAGCCAGTGATTGCAGGTGGACACCTATCCCCCAAAACTTGCAGCTTCAAATATACTTAATCTTGTTAGAAACAGCCATGAGGATAGGAAGGTAAAGAAAGAGCAGAAAAACAGTCCCAACAAACCTGATCAGCTCCAATGGAGAGCTGAAGTCAGATGGCATGGTGTCGTGAGGAGAGTCAGGAAACACTAGGCCTGGTGCGAAGTGGCAGCTGAGCTGGTCTGCACCTAAATAGGCTCATGATCGGGGGCAGAGTCACAGGGAGCTTGAGAGTTTCTTGAGTTCATGGCAAGGACTGGTAGGTCCAGTTGCCTATTGATCAAGTCCTTGCCCCACCTCTAGGAATTCAGGCATGCCCATCACCTGAGGGTGGGACTACACCTTCATCCACCAAGAAGACAAGAATGTGCCGGTTAGAACCAATTCTCTATCATCCACTACATTGCTAAGATGGTGCTAGTCAGACCCCCTGTCCTTATTTCACTAGTGTTGATGAAATGATAAGATACAGAACCACACTAACCATTGTGCTTCCTCTGTAACTTGGGGTTATAGGTATATACCACCATGCCCAGCCATTGGTTGAGATAGGGTCTTGAAAACTTTTTTTTTCTTTTTGTCTAGACTAGATTTGAACCTAAACCCTCTTATCTTGGCCTCCCAAATAGCATTTATACCCTTAAGCCACTCCTCCTGGCTGTCCCAACCTTTTTTTCATTGCCAATTTTTTAAAAAAATAATTTTTGATGATTATTGACAATTTATTGGGTAAAAATTTGTATTTGGATTGTTTTAATTTATATTTCTCTTAAAGTGCACAAGTCAACAGTATTCTGTTTGTTTAAGATCTGTTTGCATTTGCTTATATGTGAATATGTTTTCATATGTTTAAGAGGTATTTATGTTTCTTTTTTTTGGAAATTGCTTAGTTTGCTGTTGAATTGATGGTCCATTTCTAGTTATAGAAGACTTTTTTAGGGAATCCATCTCTTTGTTAGTGATTTGGCCTGGAAATATATCTTCTCATTTTGTAGATTTAACTTTTTGAATTTGCTGCGGGTGGTTTTTGTCAAGTAAAAAATATATGTAAATTGGACTGGGGGTATGACTCAAATAGTAGAATAGTTGGTTAATGTTTTCAAGGCCCTGACTTCAAACCCAATTCTAAGGGGAAAAAAGGCTGTACACAGATTTGCTGGTCTTTTCTGTTACAACCAGACAGTGAGCAGTAGACCGGAATTGCTAATGATTGTTTGACTTGTCAAGGAAAAGTCATTATCAGCCTTCTGGGGAATGATTTCAGAAGGGAGGTATAGGCAGACATCAAATGGCAACGAAATTTCAATTGACATTTAGTAGAAAGTGATATCACAACCGCAATCATGATGAAGGAAAGTTTTGTGTGTGTGTGTGTGTGTGGTTCTGGGATTTGAACTTAGGGGCTCATACTTGCCAGGTAGATGCTCTGCCACTTGAGCTACCTCCCCAGTCCTATTTTGCTTTAAATATTTTTCAGATAGGGTCTTGCTTTTGCCCAGACTGGACAGGATTCTGATACTATTAACATTTCATGAATAGCTGAGATGGTAGGTGCATATCATTGTGCCCAACATTTATTGGAACTTTAGTGGAACTTTCTCTGCCCTGGCTGGTCTCTTTATAATCTCTGCCTCCCAAGTATCTAGGATTACTAGCATGAGCCACTGCTCCTGGATCAAGAGACACTTTTTAGAAAGGGAAAATACTTATTATGATCAAGAGGAATGTTTTAGAAATTTTAGTGAGTAGAATGAGGTCTCTGAGGAGGTGAGCCAGATAGAATCAAGCATGTAAGTGGAAGGAAGGAATAACCATGAGACTGAAGGCAAAGAGCTTGTGAGGTGAATGGAAATTGTGTGTAGAGAAGAGCTAGAACGTGAGGGAAATTCATGTCTAATGGCTCAGTGAAGTACGAAGTTCTAGGAAAGGAGGTCAGATGGGCTCACTTAAATGACCATTTTGCCCACGAGTAGGATAGGTGGGTATCTTACTTTTAGAAATTTTACTTTTTAAAATACTTTTTTCTTATTTTTAGAGATATTTCTTTTCTTTATGATGTTAAGTATGTAAAAGGAGTGGCTAAGGAGAATGAACTTTGTCCCCCACGTATTGGCCGGTCCATACAGTCACATGATGGTGTCATTGTGCCTCATAAGGTAATATAGTTGACAATAACTTTCTCTACCTTTTAAATAATTTCTCCAAGATAAAGAAATAATTCTGTGACAGTCTACATTGCGTATCTGTCTTTATAGTGTTTTCTAACTCTTTATTTTTTTTGTGTGTGGCACAGAGATTTGAACTCAGGGCTTCATGCTTACTAGGCAATCATGCTAGCCCTGGAACCCCAAGCCTCTATCTACTATTTATCTATCTATCTACTATCTATCTGTCTGTCTGTCTGTCTGTCTGTCTGTCTGTCTCTGTCTCTGTCTGTCTATCTATCATCTCTATATGTCTACCTATCTCCTCCTTCCCTCTTTCCTTCTTTTTTTTTCCTTTTGCTGGTACTGGGACTTCAACTCTGGTCCTTATATTCTCATTTGGCTTACATGTTTATAGCTAAATGCCTTATCCTTCAAGCCATGCCTCTAGCTCTAATTTTTTTTTTCTGAAAAAGAGTATTTGTTTATTACCAGTCCTGGGGCTTGAACTCTGAGCCTGGGGTCTGTCCCTGAGCTGCTTTTGCTTAAGGCTAGCACTCTACTACTTGAGCTATGAACTACAGTGCCACTTCTGGATTTTTCTGAGTAGTTTATTGGAGATAAGAGTCTGGTGGACTTTCCTGCCGGGACTGGCTTCACACTATGATCTTCAGATCTCCTGAGTAGCTAGGATTACAGGCATAAGCCACTGTACCTGGATAAAAAGAGTATTTAGCAGGAAAAGATCAAAGATATTTTTTATTTCTGTACCCTTTGTCTTGTACATAAGTCTGTCTGATCTGGGGAGGAAAAGAGGAGCACAGAAACAGTGGGACAAAGGGTGAACCAATTCTTCAGTGATAATCACTGCACTATGTTGGGAATCAGCCATGCAAACTGCAGGGGAAAGGGGTTTGGAGGGGAAAAACTGGGAGAAAATGAGGGAAGAGGTGACACTGCTCAAAAAGAAATGTACTCATTACCTGACTTATATAACTGTGACCCCTCTGTGTATCACCTTTACAACACGATTTAAAAAATAAAGTGAACTAAATCTGGCAGAAAAGATATTTAAACTGTTTTTCAACTCACAGTTATTGCTTTAATCAGTGTGAGAGATTAGATACCCCTTCTCCGTAGAAATCCATATATAAGATGGTTGAATTCTTATCTTTGATAGTAAGCTTCGTACTGAACTTAAAAGGCAAAGAGTTAATGAATACAACTTGCCCTCTATCTCAAACACCATCTATACATGGAAAATATTTGAAAAACAGTTGCATCTGTATTGCGCTTTTCCTTGTCATTATTCTCAAAGTTTTACTTTATGTTAGTAACCTAGAGACCATTTAAAGTAAATGAGAGTCAGTGTATGGGCTATCTCTAAAAACAGTACCAATTTATACAAGGACCTGAATCATCTGCAGAGTTGGGTATATGTATGGGGGTCCTAGAACCAGACCACCCTTCAGACACCAAGAAAGTTATACTCCAACTAAGGTAGTTTTCAAGTTTGTGTTTATTTTTAATGTGCATTTTCTGCTTAAAGCTTTTTTTTGGTCACTTGTTGTGACCTATATTGCTAATATTGTTAGTTCTCAAATCAAAATCTACTTGGTAAATAATATCCTTTGGGGAGAAGAGCTGTAGTTCAAGGAGTAGAGTGCTAACTTAAGCTCAAGGACAATGCCCCAGCCCTGAGCTCAAGCCCAGTACACACACACACACACACACACACACACACACACGCACACACACACACACACACACACACACACACACACACACACACACACACACCCCAAAATTAGGACTTGTGTAACTCAGTTTTTTCATGTATTAACAGGGTATTTTTTATTTGTTTGTTTTAAGCCAAAGACATTAACAGATACTTTGATTCCTGAAGAATTTCATATTGTGTCAAATACAGGAGTTTCAGGTTTGGAGTGTTACGATGAGTAAGTACCATGGTATATAACGAATATTTCATCTGCTATTTCTGGCTTTCCTTGCATAGAGGAGCCCATGGGCAGTACACTTGTGTTCATGGGTTCCTAGATGCCCTAACACAACTTTAGAAAGATATTAAAGACTGCGGAAAGGACTGAAAACTTCCTGTGTAGTGTCTTTACTCCTGTCATCCCAGCTACAGAGGAGGTTTAGATGGGAAGACTATAATCTGAGACCAGCCTTAATGGAAGAGCAAATCCCTGAGAAAACTAAAAAGCAAAAAGTGCCTGAAGGCATGACTCTAGTGATCGAATATTTGCCCTGAGATCTAAACTCAAGTGCTACCTCCCAATAGAGGAGTTCAGAATTTTCATAATTAAATTGTTCTTTATCTTTTCATGACAATGGCTTTTGAATTTTTGGAACTTATTAAAAACATGGACTAGGGGCTGGGAAGGTGGCTCAGTGGTAGAGTGCTTGCCTTGCATGCCTGAGGCCCTGGGTTCCATTCCTCAGCACCACATAAGCAAAAAGAAAAAAGCCGGAAGTGACGCTGTGGCTCAAGTGGTAGAGCACTAGCCTTGAGCTGAAGAGCTGAGGGACAGCGCCCAGACCAAGAGTTCAAGCCCCATGACCGGACCCAAAAAAAAAATAAAAAAATAAAAACTTGGACTATGTTCCTTAAAAAGAATTTTGAAACAATGAACACACATAGATTCTACAGAAGGTCGCCAGGATTTCATAATACATGCTGTACTTTTGCAGATGAATCATATTGTTTTCATTGGTTCCTGTTTATGGAATCCAGTATGGGATCTTGTCTTTATTTTTTGAAACAACACTTGGATGTTTCAAAGTGCATAAAAATGGAACTTTAAGATTAGGTTTTAGAATAAAGTATCCAAAGTTTCTCTTTCTCCAGATTGTATCCGATGTGTGTCATATAGCATTTCCAATGTTTTTGCCAAAGACAACTACATGGAACTCATTTTTGGGGAGTAACTATATTATTTCTTTTTTGAGGCAGGATTTCACTATGCAGCCCAGAATGGTTTTACACTCTCCACCTTTTTGCTTAAGTTCCTAATGTGTTGGTATTACACACATGTACCACCACACCTGGCCCTCTGTCCTTCCACTTTTAAAAAGGTTGAAAGAGATTTTTTTTTAATGAATCAGGAAACTTTTATATTTTTGCATACAAGGGAATATAACTAATTTTCCTTTTTACCTAAAAATGTTCCAAAATGATATCATTGTAACTATGTTTATAGATGTCTGTGGATATCTAGGTATGTATGAACTTACATGTAAATGATGGACCTTTTTGATTGCCTCCAACCTTATTAATTTCATGAGGGCTTAAGTTTACCATAAATCATGTCTTTAGGAAATACTTTTAGTGAAGAATAGTACTTAGAAATCAAGATTCTGAGTACTAGATGTGCTGATAAACATACCAAAGTATTTCCTTTCCTCCTTCCTTTTTTTCCTTGCTGCCTTCCTTTTTTGGGATGCTGGGGATTCCCAGAATATTTTCTTGAAATAATACTTACTTCCTCTTATTTATTGTAGTAAATACACAACTCTTCTCACAGATAGTGAAAACAGACTGTTACTCTTCCCATCTATGTAAGTAGTTTGTTTTCTAAAACATTTCTGAGAAAAAATAAATTGTGTGTACTTATATTTCTTTTTTGATAATTTCTTAAACAAAAGTTATATTTTATGCAACAAAAAAATCTTAAAATTGTAGAAGAGAACAAAGATAATAAATGCAGTGATTTACACTGCAGTCATCTACAGTGGTTCCATGTGTCTAGTTATATTCAAATCTATATAGTGCAGTATTTATATACTATGAAATGCTTTTAGCTTAACCATTAGTAGTTCTCCATTTTGCCACAATCTTTTCCTTTCTTCTCTCTCTCTCTCTTTTTTTTTTTTTTTGGTCCGGTGGTGGGGCCTGAATGCTGTTCCTCAGCTCTTCAGCTCAAGGCTAGTGCTCTACCACTTGAGCCACAGCACCACTTCCAGCTTTTTTCTTTTTTGCTTATGTGGTGCTGAGGAATCGAACCCAGGGCCTTAGGCATGCAAGGCAAGTGCTCTACCACTGAGCCACCTTCCCATGCTTTAAAATACCATTAACAGGTCTTTCTCTTTGAGAGCACCCATACTCTGTTAGAGTGTGCCCCTGCCTTTTTGCTTGTCTGTTTGCCTGCTTGTCTGTTTGCTTGCTTACCTAATAAAGCTCTGCCAAGTTTTCTTACCATTAAAATTCCATTAACATTTCGTAGCATATATATTTGCTTTACACATACTATATTCTTTCTATTTGTGGAATATCTATGTAATGTTAATTATATCCGTCTGCCACCTTAATCTTCCAGGAAACCTAATAAAAGAGTTGAAGTGATCCAGCTGAATGATGTGATGGACTCAATGCTAGAGAAAGCTGGTATAGAAAGTAAGGAATACACAGGACCAACCAAGGTAACTAACTCAGTGCAACTAAATTAGTGGTGAGGAGTCTGTTCTCTGGTGGCAGAGTGCCTGGATTGAAATCTTGACTCTACATTTATTAACAGTGACTTTGGGCAAATCATTTAATGTATTTCTGTCTCAATTTCTAAATCGGTAAATTAAAGAGAATACTAGGAATAGGTTTATCCCTTTGTAGGGATCTTTTTTGTTTTTGTTTTTGTTTGGTAGTGGGGCTTGAACTTGGCCTGAGTGCTGTCCCTCAGCTCTTCAGCTCAAGGCTAGTGCTCTACCACTTGACCCACAGTACCAATTCTGGTTTTCTGGTGGTTTATTGGAGATATGTGTCTCACAGACTTTCCTTCCGGGGCTGGCTTTGAACTGCGATCCTCAGATCTCAGCCTCCTGAGTAGCTAGGGTTATAGTATGAGCCATGGATGCCAGTCTCCTTAATTTTCTCGACCTTGATATTTTGCAGTTACACAGCCAGTTTTCAGTTTTTCTGTTTTTGTTTGTCTATATACTCAAGATTAGATTCAGGTTTTGTATTGCTTGAACTCAGAGCCTGGGCACTTTCCCTGAACTTTTTGCTCAAGGGTAGCACTCTGCTATTTGAGCCACAGCTCCATTTCTGGTTTTTTTGGTGCCTTGTTGGAGATAAGAGTGTCATGGATTTAATTTCCCAGGATGGCTTTGAGCAATGATCCTCAAATCTCAGCCTTCTAAGTAGCGAGGTGATAGGCATGAACCACCAGCACCTGGCAAGTTTTGTTTCTTAGGGCAGATATAACATAGTGGTGGTAATGTGACCCTTTTTGGGCACCATATTAAAATGTACAAAACTAGATAGAATAAAACATTATATAATTTTTTAAATGAAGTGAAGTAAATCAGATGTTACTAAAACGTGTTCACATTTGGTGTACTTAGTTTGTAAGACAATTTTTACTGGTAAGACTGTGGTAAGTGCTGATTACTTTATCTTCTCCCAGATGCACCAGCTACTACATGTGTTGAAGAAGGAACAGGCCATTTACAATACAGTGTTTCATGAACTTATTCGACAAGTCAGTGTGGACTGTGCAGACAGGGGAGAGCTGCTATCCAAGATCAGGTTGAACTATCATCAGAATCTTCCTATCTCCTTTGTATATTATAAATTGCAATTATAAGCTGGGACCTGGTGGCTCATACCTGTAATCCTGGCTACTGAGGAGGCTGAGATCTGTCGGTTGTGGGACTTGAACTCTGGGTCTGGGAGCTGTCCTTCAGCTCTTCAGCTCAAGGCTAGCTCTCTACCACTTGAGTTATAGCGCCACTTCCGATTTTCTGAGTGGTTTATTGGAGATAAGAGTATCACAGACTTTCCTGCCCTGGCTGTCTTCTAATTATGATCCTCAGATCTCAGCCTCCTGAGTAGCTAGGATTTCAGATGTGAGCTACCAGCAGCAATTACAATTATTAACACAAATTCATTATGCAAAAGAATGAGATTTACTGTATGTTTCCACACACATAGTTTTGAGTTTTATATTACAATTGTGTTTATGTCTACTTTTGAGAAGTCCACAAAAATACAGTTCTTTGTTTTACTGATCAGAAATGTAGCCAGGTCCCAGTGGCTCACGACTGTAATCCTAGCTATTCAGGAGGCTGACATCTGAGGATCGCATTCAAAGCCAGCCCAGGCAGGAAAGTCTGTGAGACTCTTATCTCCAATTAACCACCTGAAAACCAGAAGTGGCGCTGTGGCTCAAGTGATAGAGCACTTGCCTTGAGCTGAAGGGCTGAGGGACCCTACCCAGGCCCAGAGTTCAAGCCCCACAACTGACCTCCCCCTATCCCCCCCCCCCCCCCGCAAAAAAAAAAAAAAGATGTAATTCCCCTCCCCCCCCTTTTTTTGAGAGGGGGGGGAGGTTTTTGAACTTCTGCTCCTCCTTGGCTTTTTTGCTCAAGGCTGGTGCTCTACCACTTGAGCCACAGTTCCACTTCCAGCTTTTGGGTAGTTAATTGGAGATAAGAATCTCTTGGACTTCTTGCCCTGACTGGCTATAAACTGTGATCCTCAGATTTCAGCCTTCTGTGTAGCCGGTGGTATAAGCCATCAGTGTCCCACTCATAATTTGCATTTTATAGACGATTTTACTTTTTCAATTGGAAAGAGGCTGGGTTTTTCTTATCTGTAAGTAAAGGTTATAGCTTCTAGGACAATTTCACTAACCCATTTGTTCATTTATAAATCAATGAATGCCAAGTATGTGCCAAGTAATGTCATGTTTCACAGGATTATAATGAGGTTTAAATGAAATCACAGTAAGTTGTTCAATAAATGTTACTATTATCAATGATGATGATAAATAGTATTGTTACTATAATTTTTCTCTAAAATGATAAAAGAAATAGCAGAATAAGGATACCTTTGTTAAATTGTCAAAATAGAGGGACATTACTAGATCTTTCTGAATATCAGTTTCTTCTAAATAGGAATTAACCTTGTCAGTTTTGCTGTAGTCTGGGAGTTCTGGAAGCTTAGAAACAAAGCCATTAATAAGAGCATGGTTAAGATTAGCTAGAAATGAGTATAGTTAGAACATCACTAGAAGCTGAGAAGTGCTGAATAAGAATGAGAATAGGAACAACTGAGGTCTGAGTTGTTAGTCAAAGGACAACCAAGAGTGATAGATGAAGAAGCAAGGCAAAAGAAATATATGACAAACAGTCTGTACCAGCTGTGTTGCTCAGCTCTCTGCCACTATAATGAAATACCTGAGGTGGGTGACAGTATAAAGGTTCAGCTGGGTGCTGATGGCTCATGCCTATAATCCTAGCTACTCAGGAGACTGAAATACAGAGGATTACAATTTGAAGCCAGGCTGGGCAGAAAAGTCCATGAGATGCTGCCTCCAAAATAATCAGCAAAAAGTAATGCTGGAGGCATGGCTAACAAGCATATCAGCCCTGTCTTTAAACCCTGATACTGTAAAAAATAAAAATAAAAGGGTAAAGGTTCATTTTGGCTCACGGTTTTATAGTTTCTGATCTATGATTGGTTGGCCCCTTTGTTTGGGGAGCTATAATGAGGCAGTGCACCATGGCAGAGTGCATGGTAGTTTAAAAACATATGTCCTACTAGGAAGCATAAGAGACAAAGAAGAGGCTGGGATTCCATTATCCCCTCTAAGGGCATATGCTCAGTAACCTAAAGGCCTCCATTAGGCCCCACCTCTTAAAGATTCTTCTACCTCCTTGGGGTACCACACTGCAGACCAAGCCTTTAAACACACAGGCCTGGTGGGGGGGCAGTATTTACCATTCAAATTAAAGTACAAACTTTCCCCTCATAAGGGGCAGGTTTGGAGAGGACTATTCCAGCTGATTTCAGGAGTTAAGTTTTAGTGGCCAAAATAGGGTGGAGTCACATCTCAGAAAGTTTAAATAGAAAGGGACAGACAAATCAAAGCAAACATAAGAAAAATCGGGCTGGGAAGGTGGCTCAGTGGTAGAGCACTTGCCTTGCATGCTTGAGGCCCTGGGTTCGATTCCTCAGCACCACATAAGCAAAAAGAAAAAAGCTGGAAGTGGTGCTGTGGCTCAAGTGGTAGAGCGCTAGCCTTGAGCTGAAGAGCTGAGGGACAGCACGCAGGCCCAGGGTTCAGGCCCCATCACCGGATTCCCCCCCCCCCCCCAAAAAAAAGAAAAGAAAAATCCAGCCAGATGCCAGAGAGACCAATTTTAAAAATTGCTAAATTCAAAGTACTAGAGATACAAGTGCTCTAAAAGCTAAGATTTAGAGTAAAGATGGGATTAAAGTACAAAGTAAATGAGAATTAGCAGTGTGATATCAGGGTTATTGCCAACAAAATTCATGATAATTTCATGGACTGGTGAAGCACTCTGCAGAGCCCAGCATTTCCTCATTGTAGGAGCTCTTTTGAAGATCTAGGAAGTACTCAGTGGAGAGGATTTCCGCTCTTCTACATCCTGTCATTTGCAGAATCCTCCCTGTTTACAAGATGGTTATGAACATCCAGTAGAAGTCCCCAGCCAATGGTAACACCAGACCCTGGAGAATACTTGCTGTCTGCCAATAAGGTCTTCTCTGTCTTGTTACTGTAGCTTCCTCTCTATCTCTGAGTGCTTTCTAATTTGTATGTGTGTTTCTCAGGCAAACACATCATTACAGGAGGAATTCAGAATGTCTATGCTTCTTCTACCAAGGACTTTCTCCTGTAATTATCTGGAGTCAGCCACTACTTCTAGATTTGGGAGTCTCAACCTTATCCACCTGTAACTTGGCATTGATTGGAACCCTTATGTGTTCAGCTCAGAGATAATCATTTGCTTACTAATTTGTTGAACAAATGATTAAATGGATGAGCTGAGGCTTTGGGAGATATAGCAATGAACTAGAAAGAAACTGAAATGAGCCCTGTTCAGTAAGGTTTATTCAGGTCACAAGTTAGATTGGAGAGTCTATTTGAGGGAAAGTAGGAAATGAATTTGGATAGATAATTTCCCAAACGCAAGCATATGTTCCCATCTCACAGAACACATGAATAGAGAACATTTTTATAGGAAGAAGCACAATTCTTAGATTGGATATGAGCTGAACAAACTCTCACATTACATAGAAATAGGAGTACTACTATAATTCTTTTTGGTTTACACTAGAGTTACTTGACTTTATTTCACTTCATTTCTAGTATTTTGTTTAAAAATTTCAAATATAAAAATGCAAAGGCTCTTGATGTGAAAACAGATACTCATGATCTAGATTCTTTCATTAAGGCCAATTTTATTGTTTGTACTTCCCTTTGTCACTGGGATGACTGGCATGAACTATATCACCCATAGTCTTATGAACTTTTATGCCCAAGCTGGTCTTGAACCATCATCACCTGATCTCTACCTCCCAAGTAGCTAAGATTACAGGTTTGAGCCATTGTGTCCAGCTTGTTTGCTTCTGTCAATTTCAGAATGATATATGGTTGGCATCACATAACATAGTTTTTGTGTGTGTGTGTTTGTGTGTGTGTGCGTGCTGTTCTGGGACTTGAACTCTGGGCTTAGAGACTGTCCCTGAACTTCTTTTGCTCAAGGCTAGTGTTCTATCACTTGAGCCACTCCTTCACTTCTTGCTTTTTCTGAGTAGTTTATTTATTTATTTATTTTTATTTTTTGTTGGTTGTGGGACTTGAACTTTGGGCTTGGGTGCTGTCCTTGTGCTCTTCAGCTCAAGGTGAGCGTCTACCGCTTGAGCCACAGCACCATTTCGGGTTTTCTAGTAGTTTATTGGAGATAAGAGTCTCACAAACTTTCCTGCCCAGGCTGGCTTTGAACCGAGATCCTCAGATCTCAGCCTCCTGAGTAGCTAGGATTACAGGCGTGAGCCACCAGCGCCCAGCTTTTCTAAGTAGTTTATTAGAGATAAGAGTCTCATAGACTTTCCTGCCTTGATTGACTTTGGACCACAATCCTCAGATACCAGTCTCCTGAGTAACTAGGATTAGGCATGAACCAATAGTGCCTGGCAACATACACTTTAAAAAATCTATAAAATATTTGTGTATGTATTGTAGTTGTTGCTGTTGTTGTTGTTGTTGTTGGGAAGAAAAAGACCTAAAGAAGGTGTTTTTAGGGGTTAGAAGCATGGCTCAGTTGGTAGAGTGCCTAGCCAGTAAGTAAAAGCAACAGGAACCAATTCCCAGTCTTGAACCTTAAAAAAAGTTGCATTTTTTCTTTTTGTTGGTCATGGGTCTTGAACTCTGGGCATGTGCGCTGTTCCTCAGCTCTTCAGCCCAAGGAGAGCGCTCTACCACTTGAGCCCCACAGCACCACTTCCGGTTTTCTAGTGGTTTATTGAGATAAGAGTCTCACGGTCTCTCCTGCCCGAGCTGGCTTTGAACCGTGATCCTCAGATCTCAGCCTCCTGAGTAGCTAGGATTACAGGTGTGAGCCACCGGCGCCCGGCTTGGATGTTGGTTTTCTAACATTGCTTTCTTTCATGCCTATTTTCTGCCTCCCTCTTTTTTTCCTTTTGCCTAATATCCTGTTTCCCTCTTTTCTCATGCAGACAGAGGTATGTGCAGATGCTTGACCAGATTGCCCGGCAGATGATTGACTTCTACAAAGACTTGGTGACTCAACGAGTGATGGACCAGCGCATTTTAGAAGAACTGTATAATTTCAAGCATGTTATTGAAGAATTGACCAGGTAGAAACTATGACTGTAATTATCCTACACACAAAAACTGATTGATTGTCCTAAATGCAAAAAATTCACAAGCATGTCTCCTTTTTTTTTTGTCAGTAATGGGGCTTGAACTCTGGGCCTGGGTGCTCTCCCTCAGCTTGAGCCACAGCACCATTTCCGGTTTTCGGGTGGTGCACTGGGGATAAAAGTCTCATAGACTTGCTTGCCCAGGCTGGCTTTGAACTGCAATCCTCAGATCTCAGCCTCCTGAGTAGCTAGCATTACAGATGTGAGCAATCAGCCAAGGATGTCTCAAAAGAACAAAAATTAACCCGGTGCTGGTGGCTCATGCCTGTAATCCTAACTACTCAGGAGACTGAGATCTGAGGATTGTGGTTCAAAGCCAGCCCAGGCAAGAGACTCTGTGAGACTCTCATCTCCAATTTGTTACCAGGAAACTGTAAGTGGTGTTGTGGCTCAAGTGGTAGAGCACTAGCCATGAGCTGAGCTCAGGAACAGCACATAGGCCCAGAGTTTAAGCTTCATGACTGACCAAAAAAAACCCTAAAAAAAACCCCCAAAACAAAAAAACACAAAATTGAATACTATAGACACTGATGTGGAAAAATGGAAGACATGGCTTAGCACAAAATTAAAGCTCTGTATATATTTGATAGGAAGAGACATAAAACAAAGAGAACAGGAAAGCAGATGGAGGAGTCAGGTAGAGCAAAGTGGGCTTCAGCTTTGGTTCTAGATGGTTCTAAAGGATCTTCCTTCTACCAGTGTGATTCCATTGTCATACCTGGCAAGATTTCATCCAGGACATTCCCTTGATTTTCTTCATTTGATTTATGAGATAGAAAAAGTAGGAAGTTTTAACATATTAGAACTGAAAAGAGGGCTGAGGGCAAGTCTAATTTCCTGGTTAGAAACTATTGGAAATCCCCAGATTTTGAAATTTCTTACCTTTATTTCAGGGAACTTTGTCTGGTTCGGGCACATGATATAAAATTAACAAAGGAAGCAGACAAAGCCCGCAAGGAATTGGAACAGGCTATTTTAGATGCTGAGAAGAATGCAAAGTGAGTCACTTTAAGTGTATTTTATGGGGACTTCTGAAAAAACGGGTATGCTACTAACTTTTTGAATTCTACAAACATGAGTTTGTTTCTCCAGCTTCAATTTTCTCCCTGAATTTCAGATTCATATAATCAAGTCTCAGCATTTTCAATTAGAGGTCTAAGTGGAACTGCCCAGTGAATTTCTGTTCTTATCCCCAATCCTGTTGCATTGCAGTCTTTGCTTTCCTGGTTAATGGCAAGTCTACATTCCAGTTTCTAGACCCAAAATCCTTGACTCATTCTTTTTTTTTTTCAATTTTTTTTATTGTGATTAAGTGGTTACATAATTTCCCAAATTTCACAGTATTGTGGGATAGTGATGCTCAGTTAAAGTCACAAACACATTCTAACTTTACTGGAGCAAATTGTCTATCACGGTCTAACATTTATGAGTTCTATGAGCTTTGCGATACAGTTATTTCTTCCACATTGGGTGATATGTACATTTCTTTTGTTTTGCATAGCGTCAGCTGTCTCCTCTTTCCCACTTGTTCCCTCCCTCCCATCACTGCCATTAGGTTGCTTAGTTCATTTTGGTCAATGTCCAGTGCTGCTGATGGGTCCCGTTGTTATGTTTTTCCCTGATTCCCTCTAGTTCTGTGTCATCTTCCTGGTTCCCCTCCGGTGTGCACATATATACCATACATGAGTGGAAGTCCTTTGTTTCTTAAGTCCTGTTAATTTTGTCGTATCAACTAACATTTTGGGTTTAATATCCACTTATCAGGGAGACCATGTACCTTTTGTCTCTTTGCTCTTGGCTTACCTCGCTCAACCTGATTTCTTCTAGCTCCATCCATTTCCCTGCAAATGCCATTGTTTTGTCATTTCTAATGGCTGCATAATATTCCATTGGGTTTGGATACCACAATTTTGGATCCATTCATCTGTGGTGGGACATCTGGGTTGTTTCCATATCCTTGACTCATTCTTAATTGATTCCCTTAATCTCTCAGATATTTCCATCAGCAAATTTGATCCATTTCCTTTTTTTTTTTTTTCTTTTTTGGTGCCGGTACTAGGGCTTAAACTCTGAGCCCGGGCCCCGTCCCTGAGCTTTTTTGCTCAAGGCTAGCACTGTAGTGCTTAAGGTACAGCTCCACTTCTAGCTTTTTTTGGTGCTTAATTGGAGATAAGAGTCTCACAGAGTTTCCTGCCAGGGCTGGCTTTGAGCCATGATCCTCAGATCTCAGACTCCTCAGTCTCTAGGATTACAGGCATGAGCCACTGACAACTTGGCTCAATTTTCCTTTTTTTTAAAAATGTTTTTTATTGTAAAAATACTGTACAGAGGGGTTACAGTTATATGAGTAAGGTAATGAGTACATTTCCTGTCGAGCATTTTAACCCCCCTTTGTTTTTCCCTTACCCATCCCTTTTTTCCCCACCTCCCTAACTCCTCCCTCCTTCCCCCAATTTTCCTTTCTTAACATATAGAATCTTCAACCCTTTTATTATCGTCATTTTCATTTCTTGTCTGGTTCATTGCCAAAACTTCAGAAAGGTCTTTCTCCTTTATACTAACCTCTACATTCATTCTTAACACACTAGCCAACATGATCTACTTTAGTTCAGAATGTTATTTCTTTGCTCAAAATTGTACAGTACCTCCCATTGTAGCTTGAAAGACAATGTTTTGAAAATGGCTTACTATTCTAACTTTTCTGACTTTCTTTATTTTGTTTCAGACATACTGGCCTGGCTCTGATTCTTGAGCACGCAGAGAGCTGTGTAGCATCCTTCTCTCTCTTTTGGATATTTCTTTGCTCAAATGTTATCTTCTCATTATTATATTTTCATGGCCCTATTTAAAATTACACCATACCTGTATATTTAGTCTGACTACACTATTGGTACTTAATATGTTTTACCTTTCTAATTGTTTATTGTTGCTTCACATAAAAAAGTGAAGATTTATTTGACCATATTGGGGCTGGGAAGTGGTAGAGTGCTTGTCTAGCATGCATGAAGCCCTGGGTTCGATTCCTCAGTACCACATAACCAGAATAAGCCAGAAGTGGTGCTGTGACTCAAGTGGTAAGAGTCCTCAGGGACAGTGCTCAGGCCCTGAGTTCAAGCCCCAGGAATGGCAAAAAAAAAAAAGTGCTTTACCACTTGAGCTACAAACCCTAGCCCTGTTTTGTTTTCTTAACAGTGCCTGTCATAGAAAGAACACTAAACAGACTTGTTGTAGGAATTTAAAAATAAAATAAGCCATCTGGGTGCCCAGTGGCTCATACTGTAATCCTAGCTATTCAGGAGGTTAAGATTTGAAGATACAAGTCAGCTCAGGCAGGAAAGTCCATGAGACTCTTAGCTACAATAAAATACTCAGAAAAAAAAAAAAAAAAAACCTACAAAAAAGCTGGAAGTGAAGTTGTGGCTCAGGTGGTAGAATATTAGCCTTGAGGAAAAAGAGCTCAGGGGTAGGGGCCAAGACTGACATCTAACTACCTACCTACCTACCTACCTAGCTAACTAACTAAATGAGAATTCTTTTGCGTTATTGAGCACTGTTGCTACTTGCAACCTGGGACAGCATGAAGGGATAATGGAGTCAAAGAAATGAGAAAAGATAGAGAATAGAAAAGCAGGGGACCAGGCTGGGAGAGTGGCTTAGTGGTAGAGTGCTTACCTAGCATGCATGAAGCCCTGGGTTTAATTCCTCAGTATCACATAAACAGAAAAAGCCAGAAGTGGTGCTGTGGCTAAGTGGTAGAGTGGTAACCTTGAACAAAAGAAGCTCAGGGACAGTGCCCAGGCACTGAGTTCAAGCCCCAGAATTGGCAAAAAAGAAAAACAAAAAGAATTGAAATTTTAGAATTGAAAATATGGAAGCACAATAGAAAAATAATGAACATAGGTAACTCTTCTAGAATTAACTATTATTAATATTTTTATTATTTGTTTTTACTTATGGATTATTTATAAAAGTAAAATCAAATTGAATATTTAATTTTACTTTTTTGGTCATTTTGTGGTGTATGTGTGGTGTATGTGTGAGAGAGAGAGAAAAAAAATGAGAGAGAAAGAGTGTGTGTGTGTATGAGTATGTGTCCTAGTACTTGAACTCAGAGCCTGGGTGCTGTCCCTGAGCTTTCTTTGCTCAAAACTAGAGCTCTACTTCTTGAGTTAACCCTACTTCTGTCTTTTTGAGTGCTTAATTGGAGATAAGAGTCTCACAAACCTTCTTTCCCAGGCTGGCTTTGAACTTTGATCCTCAGATCTGAGCCCCCTGAGTAGCTAGGATATAGGTGTTAGCCACCAGGGCCTCGCATTTTGGGTCATCTTTTTTTTTTTTGTCGGTTCATGGGACTTGAACTCTGGGCCTAGGCACTGTCCCTGAGCTCTTCAGCTCAAGGCTAGCACTCTACCACTTGAGCCACAGTACCACTTCCGGTTTTCTGAGTGGTTTATTGGAGATAAGAGTCTCACGGTCTTTCCTGGGCTGGCTTTGAACCTTGATCCTTAGATCTCAGCCTTCTGAGTAGCTAGGGTTACAGGCGCCCCGCTTTTGGGTCATTTTATAACATAAAAAATTGAATTTTACCTGGTCAGTCTCTCCTTTGTTGGGGCATTAAAGTTGTTTCTGAATTTTTAACTTTTTATTGTTATGAATTTGGGTCATTTTGGGCTGGGCGCTGGTGGCTCACGCCTGTAGTCCTAGCTACTCTGGAGGCTGAGATTTGAGGATCACGGTTCAAGGCCAGCCCGGGCAGGAAAGTCTGTGAGACTCTTTATCTCCAATAAACCACTAGAAAACCAGAAGTGGCGCTGTGGCTCCGCAGTGGAGCACTTGCCTTGAGCTGAAGAGCTGAGGGATAGCACCCAGGCCCAGAGTTCAAGCCCTGTGACTGACAAAAAAAAAAAAAATTGGGTCATTTAAAAATTGTTATCTAATTTTCATACAAGTAGTATAGATTCAGCTAATTGAATTTATATACTTGTATTCACCTATGTGGATTTCTCCTCATTTATTTTAAACACATGGACAACTCTGAGTAGAGGATTTTTAATTCTTGCACCAGTGATAACATCCCTCAAAGAAGTATCCGAAGATTTGTCTAATACTACTTGTCACATTACAACTTCTGAGAAGAGTTTCCATGTAAATCAGAAGGAAAAAGACACTTTCTGGTAGACATGAAGAAATAAAAAGAAGTGCTTAATTTAGGCTTTCAGGTGGCCAGAAGGGAGTTTCTTATAATCTTGTATTAATTTTAAATATTTTAAAATGTGGTGACTCACAATTATTGGGATTTATGACTAGTAAAGAATCTTAAATCAGTTGGGTGCTGGTGGTTTATGCCTATAATCCTAGCTATCCAGGAGGCTGAGATCTGAGGATTGGGGTTCCAGCCTAGATAGAAAGCTTGAGAGTTTTATCTCCAATTAAACAGCAAAAAGCCAGAAGTGGAGGTGTGGCTTAAGTGGTATAACACCATCCTTGAGCAAAAAAACCTCAGGGACAACATACAGATCCTGAATTCAAGCCCCAGTACTGGCACCACAAATGAAAACAACAAATGAAAAATAAATCCTAACTTCATAAACAAGAAACCTAACAAAACTGTGGCAGTACTGTTCCTTGTGTTCTGAAGTTTTCATCAAATACAGTGTTGTTATACTATTAGAATGTAATACTGTAAAAAGTTTTGTGATAAAGAATAAAATGAAGGGGCTGGGAAGGTGGCTCAGTGGTAGAGCGCTTGCCTTGCATGCCTGAGGCCCTGGGTTCAATTCCTCAGCACCACATAAGCAAAAAAGAAAAAAGTGGGAAGTGGTGCTGTGGCTCAAGTGGTAGAGTGCTAGCCTTGAGCTGAAGAGCTGAGGGACAGCGCCCAGGCCCAGAGTTCAGGCCCCACGACCGGACCCCCCAAAAAGAAAAGAAAGAATAAATTGAAGCCAGGTGCTGGTGATTCACCCCTATAATCCTAGCAACTTGGGAAGCTGAGATCTGAAGATCCAGTTCTAAAGCCAGCTTGGGTAGGAAGGTATGTGAGTCTTATCTCCAATTAATCACCAGCAAACTGGAAGTGGAGCTGTGGCTCAAAGTGGTAGAGTACTAGCTTTGAGCACCCAGGCTCCAAGTTCAAGCCCCATAACCAACCAAAAAAAGAATAAAATATAAAGTGTTTAGAGCAAGGGCCATTATACTGGACTTTCTACTTTTGTTATGACTTTTTGTAAGTTTTGCCAATACTTTTGTGAATATTTCATGTTTTGCTATCAATATATCCAGCAGTTATACCATAATTACCTTATGATGAGTTTTTTTCTTATGATAAGTTTATAATCAAGCCCCACGACCGGCAAAAAAAAACAACTTTTATTTGTTATTATAAAGGTGATATACAGAATAGTTATAGTTACGTTAGTACATCTCTTTTTCCCCTTTCTTTTCCCCAGGTTTTAACCACAAGTTGTAAGGATCACTGCTGCATTTGTTTACCTTTTATCCCTCAATTTCTGTGTTCCCTCATACCACCCCAAAAACATATAAATGAAGAAACAAAACAAAAAGAAAAGAAAAAGAGCAACAAAGAAAAAACTTTGTTTTCATTTTCTGGAGTCCGTTTTGATAAATATTATTTTATATGATCAGAGGCACGTCTGTTTTTTTTATGCGCATGCTTAGAGCTACAAACTATCCTCATATCACAGCTTTTGCTATATCCCAAAGGTTCCAATATATGTTTTCATTTTCATTGAATTGTAAGAACTTTCTGATTTCCTCTTTTATTTCTTCAGTAACCCCCCCTATTGTTCAGCAGTGCGTGGTTCAGACTCCATGTGTTTGAGTGTTTTCCGCAGTATCTTTTGTTGAAATTCCATTGTGATCAGATAGGATGCAAAGAGTTATCTCCATTCTCTTGTATTTGCTCAGGTTATAACAAAGTTCTCTTAAAAATGTGTTGTTACAACCATTTCTTATTTTTTCTTTTAGAATTGTTGAAGAATACCATGATTTGTATTCATTACAAAGAGGAAGGATGGAGAATGACATTAAACAGCTAATGGATGAAAGAGATATTTGGAGCTCAGCCACATATGAATTGGCCCTAAAGGTTTGATCATCTGCTTCTTCAATTCAAACTTCATTATTGGTTAAAGTTATATTTTATAATTTTTAATAATTTAGACGAAACTAAAAAGAGAAAGAGATAATATATTTATTGGTGAATGAGATAGACCTTTGATAGACCTTGAAATGGAAAGTTAAAATTTTATTTTTTGCCTTTGATATCTAGACATTGCACAGTAGAGTTTTCTCTCTGTGTATCTGTTCTGTCTCTGTCTATCTCTCTCCTTTATACTAGAACTATAAAGTAGGAGCAAAAAATTCTTTTTTGTGTGTGCCAGTACTGGGGCTTCTTGGGGCTTGGGCATTTGTTCCTCAGTTTTTTTCACTCAAAGCTAGTATTCTGCCACTTCAGGCATAGCTTTACTTCAGGCTTTTTGCTGCTTAATTGGAGATTAAACTCTCTTAGACTCTTAATCTGTTAGGGCTAGCTTCAAATCATGATCCTCAGCTCTCAGCCTCCTGAGCAATTAGGATTACAGGGGTGAGCCACTGATGCTTACCTAAATTCTGAACTCCCAATTACTTTGCTCTACTGTCTTTGGGACAAATAGACAAGGTTCAGAAAACCTAGTGAAAAAGCAGCTTTATAGAAAATAAAAAGGCCGTTGACATTGAAATGATAACTATTTTACTATAAGGCCATTGGCCATTAAATGAGATTTTTATGTATATGTGTGCTATGATGGATTGAACTCAGGTACTCATGCTTGCTAGGCAAGTGTTCTATGACTTAAAAGTATTGGCAGGTACTATATCATGTCTCTAGCTCTTTACGCTTGTTATTTTTTGAATAGAGTCTCATGTCCCCCTCACCTCTAGAATTATCTTTAGATTGACATCTTCCTGCTTATGCCTCCCACCTAGCTAGGATTGCAAATGCATGCTATTATTACCTGGTTTATTGATTGAAATAGGATTCCACTAACTCTGCCCTGGCTGGTTTGAAACTGGGATCCTCCTTGGGTCTGTCTCCTAAATAGTTGGGATTACAGGCATGGACTACTACACTTCACTGCACAGTTTATAAAACCATGTAGACACTTATAAAACCAAGTTAGGCACATACAAGATGAAAGTAAAGAGAATAGAGGAAGGCAGATACTCTGCAATGTGAAGACTTTACCTAAGATATAATGTCCCATCTCAATATAGAATTATAACAGGATAATTAAGAGGAAGCCGTTCCCTTTCAGGAACTCTGTGCTATGGTAGGGTGCAAACCTTGAGCAAAAAGGAGCCCAGAGACAGTACCCAGGCACTGAGTTCAAGCCCCTAATGGACAGAAAAAAAAAAAAGCAAAATGGAATATTTTACTCATACTTTTGGAAAAATACAGTTTTTCATACAAGTGCTATTTCTGTTAATATGTAATATATTAAAATATATGCATATTTAAAATAATTGAAGCTGGGCTGGGAAGTTGGCTCAGTGGTAGAGCGCTTGCCTTGCATGCCTGAGGCCCTAGGTTCGATTCCTCAGCACCACATAAGCAAAAAAGAAAAAAGCCAGAAGTGATGCTGTGGCTCAAGTGGTAGAGCTCTAGCCTTGAGCTGAAGAGCTGAGGGACAGTGCCCAGGCCCAGAGTTCAGGCTCCACGACCGGACCCAAAAAATAAAAAAAATAATAAGATAATTGAAGCGTAAGTCAAGAAAAATATCAATAGATACAATTCAAATAAATAAAAACACTGAGCTGTGCTGTGGGTGTAATATTAGCTACTCAGCAGGCTGACATTTGAGGATTACAATTCAAAGCTACCCAAGCAGAAAAGTCTGTGAGATTCTTATTTCCAATTAACCAGCAAAAGGCTAGAAATGGGAATGTACCTCAAGTTGTTAGGAGTATGACAAAAAAGCCAAGCAAGAGTGCAAGGCCCTAGGGTCAAGACCTAGTTCTGGAACAAAAATTAAATAAAGGAAGTGGAGCTGTGGTTTGGTTGGTAGAACACTAGCCTTGAGCACAAAGAGAGGCTCAGGGAGAGTGCCTGGGCCCTGAGTTCAAGCCTCACAACTGACTAAAAACAAACCAAAGCAAAACAAAAATAAAAATTAAATAAATAGATGAGTATTTTCAATTTCATAGTGATTTTTAAGTAAAGAGGTCTTAAGTGTAAGGGGAAGTCTTAAACTCAAATTACTTAAGACTTTCTGTTATATACTATACTTTTAGTTCCAGGTAAACAGTTTTAGCAATTGTAATTCATAGTAGTCAATGGTTTAAACAGCAAATTTTGTATGGGATAGTGATTCAAGAAGAAATGGAACCTGAGGCTCCGGTGGCTCACGCCGGTAATCCTAGCTACTAAGGAGGCTGAGATCTAAGAATCATGGTTCAAAGCCAGCCTGGGCAGGAAAGTCCATGAGACTTTTTTTTTTTTTGGTCAGTCATGGGACTTGAACTCTGGGATTGGGCACTGTCACTCAACTCTTCAGCTCAAGGCTAGTGCTCTATCACTTGAGCACTTCTGGTTTTCTGGTGGTTTATTGGAGATAAGAGTCTCATGGACTTTTCTTGCCCAGGCTTGCTTCACCGCAATCCTCAGATCTTAGCCTTCTGAGTAGTTAGGATTACAGACATGAGCCACCAGCTCCCGTCCTGTGAGACTTTTATCTCCAACTAACCACCAGAAAGCTGGAAGTGGCACTGTGGCTCAAGTGGTAGAGCTCTAGCCTTCAGGTGAAGAGCTCAGGGACAGCGCCCAGGCCCAGAGTTCAAGCCCCATGACCAACAACAACAACAAAAACAACAACAAAAAGAAGAAGAAGAAGAAATGGATATGTGAACCCAGGTTAATGTAGTGGTCTGTTAATGTTGTAGGGTCCTGATTATAGCACATTGTTTTTGTAGGTAATCATAAGAAATAGAGTCATAATGGCTAAACAACTCTACCTCAATGAAAAAGCCTGGAATAAGTACGTTAAGCATTTCATCACCATGCTCTCAACCAAGGTAAAGCTTAACTCACTTTAATTATGTAAAAATGACTGCAGATGTTGAGGGTGGAGACCATTGAATTTTCTATAGTTATAGCCTTAAAATTTTTTCATTTGATTTTTTGTGTGTATGTGCCAGTATGAGGGGGTTTGAACTCAGGGCCTTGACATAAAAGTAGTACTCTCCTACTTGAGCCACACTGCTACTTCTGGCATTTTGGTGGTTAATTGGAGATGAGTCTCATAGAGGGTTTGGAGGCGTGGCTTAGTTGGCAAGTCACTAGCTAGTGAGTGAATGTATCTGGAACCAAGTTCAAGTACAGGCCTTGGGCCTAACAACAACAACAAAGAGAGTCTCTTTGACTTTTCTGACCCAGCTGGCTTCAAACCATGATCCTCAAATCTTAGCCTTCTGAGTAGTTAGTATTACAGACATGAGCCACCAGCGCCCAGCTCATAGATTTTTTTTTTGCTAGTCCTTGGGCTTGAACTCAGGGCTTGGACAACGTCCCTGAGCTTCTTTTTTGCTCAAGGTTAGCGCTCTACCACTGGAGCCACAGCTCCACTTCCAGCTTTTTCTGTTTATGTGGTACTGAGGAATTGATCCCAGGGCTTCATGTATGCTAGGCAAGCGCTCTACTACTAAGCCTAAGCCACTTTTAGGTTTACATTTGTGTTTTATTTTGATCAGAATGAAAAAATAAAGGCATATGAGTAAAAGCTGTAATTTCCTATATTTTGTTCCATTGTATTTGTTTATCTAAATTTAGTAACACTACAAAATTATTCATAGTTCTGCTATTTATTGGCACTTGGGAGAATCAGAAAAGAGAATCAATTTCCAGGACAGCCTAGGCTATAAAGTGAGTTCCAGGTTATCCTGGTTTATATATCAAGACCCTGTCTCAACAGAACAAAGAACAAGTAACTGTGTTTATTGATTGTTGCATTATCAATTAATTACTATTTTTCGGCAATGTTATTAAAATTTTTATTTGGAATTTTGTTCATATTATTCTTTCTTTTTTCTTTTTTTTGGGGTCCGGTTGTGGGGCCTGAACTCTGGGCCTGGGCGCTGCCCCTCAGCTCTTCAGCTCAAGGCTAGTGCTCTACCACTTGAGTCACAGTGCCACTTCCGGCTTTTTTCTTTTTTGGTTATGTGATGCTGAGGAATCGAACCCAGGGCTTCAAGCATGTAAGGCAAGTGCTCTACCACTGAGCCACCTTCTCAGCCCTCTCTTTTCAGCCCTCTCTTTTCTTTTTTTTTTACAACAAAACATATATACACACACACATGGTAACAAAGAGTTTATTTTACAAAGCAAAAGTAAAGGCCACTTAGAAGAGTGAGCAGCAGGACCATGTAAGCAGCAGGGCCATGAAAGCAGTTGTCCCTTTCTTTTTTCTTTTTAAAATGATCTTTAAGTAGTTGAACAGAGGGATTTCAGTTCAACATGTCAGTTTGTGAGTACAGTGCATCTGGATGAGTTACCGCTTTCATCATTTCATGAGTCAATTCATTGAGTGCCCTGAAGAGAAAAAGAGGATGCTACTTATTTATACCAAAGCCACAGGTTACATCTCAAGTCTGCAATCTTAGCTATTTGGGAGGCAGAGATTGAGAGATCTCAGTTTGAGGCCAGCCTGAGCATAAAAGTTCGAGAGACTGCATGTCAACCAGTATTTGAGCTCACTTATATACAACTATTACACTAGATACAGGGGAAACACAATAGCTAGATACATTGGCACATACCTACCATCTCCAGGCATGAATGGAAGCATAAATAGGATGATCACAGCCTCACACCAACCTGGGCATAAAGCAAGATCATGCCTCAAAAGTAACCAAGGCAATAACAATTTACAAACAAAGACAAAAATAACCAAAGCAAGAGAGGTTATTAGGTATGGCTCAAATGATACAGTACCCACCTAGCAAGCATGAAGTCTTACATTTCAACTTAAATACTACAAAAAAGAGAAAAAAGCCCAGACAAACCATTTACACCAGTTAGCTCTTAATCCTGCAGGATGTTTATTAGGGTCTGCATAATAAAAAAGAACTTCAAAAAGAAATTAAATAATGTCATCCAAGGTTACAAAGCCAGTAAATGGCTTGGATTCATGTTTGGTTTTGTGTGGTTTCATGGTTCCTGTTCTATCCAGTGTACCACCCTAAAAGGGTTCATGCTTTACAGGAAAAAATCTTGTGCCTGATGCTGGTGACTCACTCCTGTAATCCTAGCTACTCAGGAGGCTGAGAGCTGAGGATTGCAGTTCAGAGCCAGCCTGGGCAGGAAAGTCTATGAGACTCTTATCTCCAATTGATCACCAGAAATCCAGAAGTGGATCTGTGATTCAATGTGGTAGAGCCCTGGCCTTGAACAAAAAAGCTCAGGGATGGCACTTAGGCTCCAAGTTCAAGTCCCATGACTGACAAAACAACAACAACAACAACCAAACAATTTGCTTCTAATACTTCACACACCATAGGAAGTTCATCATCAAACAATGTTAATGAAGACATTTTGAAGGAAGGGCTACATGTTTCAATTTTTAATCCATTTTTAATGGATTTTCTAGTCCTACAATATTAGTAATGATTTAGTGTGTATTCATAAATATTTGTTATATGAATAAAAGAATAAAGTGATGCTGTGTATTTTAGGACACTGCAGACCATGCACTGTTGGAGAGGTTGACAGAAAAGTGGAAAAACTTACTGGACAAATTTAAAATGGAGGTGGAACACACTGAAGAGTCCGTGAAGGAGAAAGCACAGATTGTAAAGGATGGCCTTCTCAAATGGCAGCCCTTCTTCATGGAGAATACGTGTGTCTCCAAGAATAGTGTTTTCCTTATTATACTGGATCATGTCTGATGACTAAGTCAATTCTCATTTCTTTTCCTCCCTTCTTTCCTGTCTCCTCTCTCTTACCTTGTAATTATTCTAACATTGCCTTTTTGTGTGTCTGTTTGTTGGAGGGACTGGGGCTTGAACTCAGAGCCTGGGCACTGTCCCTTAGCTTTTTCACTCAAGACTGGCTCTCTACTTGAGCCACATTCCACTTCTGGTATTTTGGTGGTTAATTGGAGATAAAATCTCTTGGACATTCCTGCCCTAACTGGCTTCAAACCTTGACTCTCAGATCCCAGCTTCCTGAGTAGCTAGAAAGCCCACCCTTTAAAACAGATTTGATGGATCATGGTTCCTGGCCCTGGAACTTGGTTGATTAGAATGTTAATTTATATTAATATTGTAAATTGAAACATAAATGCTTGTGGGTAGAGGGCTAGACCTGAGAGGCACACTTGAAAATCACGGAAGAGAAACAAATCTTATTATAGAATATGCATGTATCATTTTCTTTTGTTTTACCTTGTTCTGAGCCCTTTCTCTTGCTTTTTTCCCCCTTATTTTAGTAAAAAAAGTATCTTCTCCCTTTTGAAGGGAAATACACTGATTTTACTTCCTTCAGAGCTCAAGAAATGGCAAAGGGTAAGACTTTATAATACACAAGTTGGTAATCAAAATGCTAGGGTCTTTTTTGTTTAGTTGTTTGTTTGTTTGAACTCAGGGCCTCCATACTCCCACTTGTCTTTTCTGCTCAAGGCTGGCACTCTGCTACTTGAGCCATGCCTTCACTTCTGGCTTTTTGCTTGCTAATTGGAGTTAAGAATCTCTTGGACTTTTCTGTCTGGGCTGGTTTTAACCTTGATTCTCAGAGCTCAGCCTCCTTGTAGCTAGGTTATGGCATGAACCACCAGCGCCTGTGCTGTTATGTGACAGTCCCTACCTATAGCTCCCTCACATCTCATTCTTTCAAAATTACGTTGAAAGTTTTACTAAAGACAAAACAGCAAGCTCTTAGAGGCTTTTTAAAATGCAAATTTGGGAGATCAAAAAAGTTAGGCTACCTGAAAAAAAAAAGTGGGAGAAGATGCTCATGTAGAAGTGAGTGTGGTTCTTTACTTGTCCATCTAATTGCCAAGAATAATGAGTGCATCTCTCCAGCCTCTGGCTTTTGCCTTTAGGATCAATTAGACTTTGAAATATAATAACATTTCTTAAGTTATGACAAAATATGCCTAACATAAAACTTACATTTTAGCCCTTTTTAAGCATATAGTTCAGAGGCATTAGTATATTCATGACATTGTTCAGCATAACCACCATCCTCCTCCAGAGTCCCTCAGCCTCTAAGACTGAAATTCTGTGCCCATTGAAGAATAACTCTCCATTTTTGCCTTCCCTATTGTCCTAGTGATCCTCATTCTGTTTCCTGTCTATGAATTTGACTATCCTAGTCACTTCACCAAAGTAAAATCTTATGTTTGTTCTTTTATGATTGGTTTATTTCCCTTAGCATAATGTTCTCAAGGTCATCTATGTGTCAGTATTTCCTTCCTTTTTAAGGCTGACTAATATTTCCTCATGTGCATTAAGTATATTATATATATAGATAAACACTAAATACATAAATAAGCAGACACTATATCTTTTTTACCATTAAGACTATTTTTTTTAAAATTTAATTTGTGTGTGTGTGTGTGTGTGTGTGTGTGTGTGTGTGTCTATTAGTGCTTAAACCTGGGGCCTCACACCCTTGCTTAGATTTTTCATTTAAGACTGGTACTATTCACTTGACCCACATTTCTACTTCCAGCTTTTTGCTGGTTAAATGGAAATAAGAATCTCACAGACGTTACTGCCTGCACTGGCTTTTAATAGTTATCTTCAGATTTTCACTTTCAGTGTAGCAGGATCATAGGCGTGAATCACTAGCCCCCAACTAAAAACATCTTTTGAAAATAAGTTTAATTAATTATAGATATCATGTTTACATTAATATGATGAAGGAAAATGTTACTCCATCCTTTTCACCTTCTAGATGCTGAGTGAGGAATCAGCAAAGTTTTCTGGGGATACTCTACTGTGCAGATATGATACTCTGAAGATTATTCAGCACTTACATGAAAACTGGGCAGATATTGGATTTGGGATCTTTCGTCGCCATAGAAGTCTGGAGGGGCAGATGCCACCAGAGCTGCAGTACATGGAGGAACTAATGCAGTACATAAAAAAGCTCTACAAAGAATATGAAATAAGAATAAATGGGGACAATGGTAAGAGAAAACTACAATACTAGATTTCTTGACACTATAAAGCATTGCGACAATGATTATTTTGAATGCAAGTAATATTTAAAAGTACAAATAAAAGTAGCAAATGAATGAGTTTATTACATGGCACAAATGAAAAAGAATGTTTAGAAGCAAAAGAATAGCTGAATCATGGAGACAAGGGGTTACATATTTTTGAGATTTGCAGTTGACTCGTGATTAATAATGTGTTGGCAACAACAATATGATTATGTAGAAGTAGATAAGTTTTCGGTAAGAGCACAAAACTTTTTCTTTTTCTTTTTTTTTTTTTTTTGGTCTGGTCATGGGCCTGGGCGCTGTCCCTCAGCTCTTCAGCTCAAGGCTAGCGCTCTACCACTGAGCCACAGCACCACTTCCGGCTTTTTTTTTCTTTTTGCTTATGTGGTACTGAGGAATCGAACCCAGGCCTCAGGCATGCAAGGCAAGCGCTCTACCACTGAGCCACCTTCCCAGCCCCAACTTTCTCTTTTTTTAGTGGTTCTAGAATTTGAACTTGGGGCTTTAGTGTTTGTTAGGCAAATGCTCCACAACTCTAGCCGTATCTCCAACCCTATTTGCTCAGTTATGTTTGAGATGGGATCTCAGTGTTTGCTTCTGCTCCCCTTGACCACAATCCTCCTGTTTATGCTTTCCACCATAACTGGGATGATATACACACACCACCATGCCCATTGTTTTCTGTTGAGAAGGATTCTTGTGAAGTGTTTTGTCTGGACTGACCTGGGACTGTGATCCTTTTGATCTCAGCCTCCCCAATAGTTAGAGAAGAGCCAATATCGGGCTTAACGCTAAATTTTATTTAAGCTTTAAAGAACATTATTTCAACCTTCCTAAATAATTCATGGTGTTATATAGAATTCTCTAACTTTTATGAACTTAGAGTAAATATAAAAACATAACAGTGTAAAATAAACTCATAGGCTACCTCTCATTTATGACTATAAGGGCCAAAATTATAAACAAAATCAGTGCAATATAGCAGAGATTAAAAATTGAAACACTATAAACCAAGTAGGGTTGACTCCAGAAATATTTGAGTGATTCAGCATTAGGAAATAGATCAGCACATTACATTTCATCAAAATACTGAAAGAGAAAATATATTAGAAGAAAAAGGATGCTGAAATTTTTGGTTAAAATGTAACAATTATTCCTAACAAAAAGTCAAAATTAAATAGCCTTAGAAACATTTAAAAGCAAAACCACTAATTAAAAAGCAATAGTAGAGCTGAGTGCCCATTGCTCACACCTGTAATCCTAGCCACTCAGGAAACTGAGATTTGAAGGTTGCAGTTTGTAGCTAGCCCGGCAAGAGAGTCTGAAATTCTTCTTTCCCATTAACCAGCAAAAAGCCAGAAGTGGAGCTGTGATTCAAGGGATAGAGCAGTAGCCTTGAGCCAAAAAACTGAGGAACAGTGCCCCTGCATTCAAGCCCTGGGATTGGCAAAAATAGGATCATAAATGGCAAACAAAAACTATTAGCATCCTGGAAAATAGAAAAATAGAATAAAATAAAAAAATAATGTGAACATTAGAAAAGATAAAGTGGCAATTTGTGCTGATAATATAGTTAAAAACTTAGAAGATTTGGTATCATAGAAAAAAAAGACTAAAATCAACTAGGGAATTTCAAGGATGAAAGTCATTATTGCCTTGAACAATGAAGAACCTAAAAATGGAAATGGAAAAGATGTTAACAGTCCATTAGTGATTAAACCTATAAATGCCTTAAAAGTTTACTTTTAAAGTGGCACAGATTTACATGAAAAAAATGACAAACTTCGTGACATAATTCTCAAAAGAGTTGAATTATGAATCATAAATGATTTATAGTTTCCAAATATTTTTTTTTAATTGTGAAAATACCATACAGAGGGGTTACAATTACATGGGCAAGATAATGAGTACAATTCTTTTTTTTTGGTTCCAGTCGTAGGGCCTGAACTCTGGGCCTGAGCACTGGCCCTCTGCTCTTCACCTCTACCACTTGAGCCACAGCGCTACTTCCGGCTTTTTTTTTCTGCTTATGTGGTGCTGAGGAATCGAACCCAGCGCCTCATGCATACAAGGCAAGCACTCTACCACTGAGCCACCTTCCCAGCCCATGAGTACATTTCTTTTTTTTTTTTTTTGTCGGTCGTGGGGCTTGAACTCTGGGCCTGGGCGCTGGCCCTCAGCTCTTCGGCTCAAGGCGAGCGCTCTACCACGTGAGCTACAGCGCCACTTCCGGTTTTCTGGTGGTTTATTGGAGATAGGAGTCTCACGGTCTTTCCTGTCCTGGCTGGCTTTGAACCGCGATCCTCAGATCTCAGCCTCCTGAGTAGCTAGGATTACAGGCGTGAGCCACCAGCGCCCGGCCCATGAGTGCATTTCTTATCAAGCATTATTGCCTCATCCTTTATTTCCCCTTCCCATCCTTTCCCAACTCCCCCCTTCTCTTCCCTTCCCCCCACCCCCAAAGTTGTAAAGTTTGTTTTTCGACATAACGATTTGTACCTCTCATTGTTGCAATGGGTCCACTTGTATCCCTATTTACACGATTTGTTTTTTCCCTTCCCCTCCACAAATTATATCAACATCAAATACAGTGAATGCAGGGGTTATACCGTGGGGGAGGGACATACAAAGCAACAAAGAAATCATCTTATAAGTATTTTAGAAACAGTCGCATGAAAGCAAAAACATTTGAATGCTTATCTTGGGGTTCATTTCCCCTAACATCAACTTATCTGACCTTTTCTGCGTGTCCCAGACATATACTAGTTATTGCAAATAAGGGAATCCATGGGGACCTGTGTTTCTTTGGGCCTGGCTTACTTCACTTAATATAATTTTTTCCAAGCCTTTCCATTTCCTAACAAATGGGGCAATGTCATTCTTTCTGATGCAGGCATAGAATTCCATTGTGTATATATACCACATTTTCTTGATCCATTCATCTAGTGAGGGGCATCTGGGTTAGTTCCATATCTTAGCTATGGTAAATAATGCTGCAATAAACATAGTTTTGCTGGTAGCTTTAGTATGGTCTTGTTAGTGATCACTTGGGTAAATGCCCAAAAGTGGGATTGCTGGGTCATAGGGGAGCTCTATGTGGAGTCATTTGAGGAGCCTCCATACTACTTTCCAAAGTGGTTGAACAAGATTACACTCCCAACAATGCAGTAAGGTTTCCTTCTGTCCACATCCCCTCCAGCATCTGTTGTTATTAGAGTTCTTGATTATAGCCATTCTAACTGGGTGAGGTGGTATTGCAATGTTGTTTTGATTTACATTTCTTTTATGGCTAGAGAGGTTGAATATTTCTTGATGTGTCGTCTAGTGGCCATCCTTCTTTCCTCTTCAGAGAAGTTTCTCTTTAAGTCTTTCGCCCACTTATTTATTGGTCAGTTGTTTCTTTGAGGATTTGTTGTTGGGGGATTTAATTTTTTGAATTCCAGGTATATTTTAGATATGAGACCCTTGTCCGTTGTATGGCTAGTGAAGATCTTCTCCCAATCCGTGGGCTTTCTATTGATCTTGCTAGCTATGTCCTTTGCCATGCAGAAGCTCTGCAATTTCATGCAATCCCATTTGTCCAACCTTTCTTTGATATGTTGTGTTTCTGGGTCTCTATTAAGAAAATTTTGGCCTGTGCCAAGGAGACCGAGGGTTTCTCCTATTCCATCCGGTAATGTTTTCAGAGTGTCTACTTTGACTCCGAGGTCTTTGATCCATTTGGAGTTGATTCTGGTGCAGGGTGATATATAAGGATCTAGGTTTAGTTTTGCAAGTAGTTTCCAAATATTTATAATGTTTTGTTTTACTAAGGCTCCTAAACCTTACATACAAGATATATAGATATATAAATATATATCAGATATTAGGAGAATTTTTTGTTCCCAGTACCAGGGCCTGACCTCAAGGCCTTGCACTCACTCAACTTGCTTGCCTAGCTAGTGGTCTACCACTTGAGCTACACATCCAGTCCAATATTTTTTTGCTAATTAATTGGAGATGGGGTCTCAGACTTTTCTGCCTATGCTGGACTTGAACCATGATTTTTCAGATCAGCCTTCAGGGTGGTAAGGATTACTGGGATGATCCAATAGTGCCCAGCTATTTTCCTTTTGTCTAAGTTATTTTATCCATATATAGAAACCCTACTGCAACATCAACTTTCTTTCCATACTTTAATCTGTTATTGAACATCCACTGAATTCTTCATTTCAGTTATTGCATTTTTCAGTCTTGGAATTTTTAGGTCTTTGAAATTTTTTATCTTATCAGTTAATAACTTTAATTTTTAAAAACAGTGTTAATGGCTGGGTGGTGGTGCCTCATGCCTGTAATCCTAGCTTCTCAGGAGGCTGAGATCTGAGGATCGCTGTTCAAAGCCAGCCAGGCAGGAAAGTCTATGAGATTCTTATCTCCAATAAACCACAAGAAAACCAGAAGTGGCACTGTGGCTCAAGTGGCAGAGTGCTGTCCTTGAGCTGAAGAGCTGAGGGACAGTGCCCAGGCCCAGAGTTCAAGCCCCATGACTGACCAAAAAAAAAAAAGACAACAACCCTAAAACTAAAAACCAAAAAACAGTGTTAATGTTCAAATGGAGGGTCTTTTAGCACACTGGGCAGGTTCTCTATCATCAAGCCACATCCTTGGTAGTAACAACTTCAACTTTTTTTTTTTGCCAGTCCTGGGGCTTGAACTCTAGGCCTGGGCACTGTCCTTGAGCTTTTTTTGCTCAAGGCTAGCACTCTACCACTTGAACCACAGTGCTACTTCCAGTTTTTTTCTGTGTGTGTGGTACTGAAGAATCAAACCCAGGGCTTCATGAATGCTAGGCAAGCACTCTACCACTAAGCCACATTCCCAGTCCTGACTTCAACTTTTTATATCAAAGTTTATATCTCATACTTGGATATCTGGTTCTCCTATATGGCTTTAAATAATTGCATTTGATCATGTTTTTGACTCCATTTTTTTACATGTTTTATTCTGAGTGAATGCTGGACATTGTGTATGGAAAGTTCTAGAAATAACTTGAGTCTCTGGATGTACTATTTTCTACAAGAATGAGTTTTTACTTTTTCTTCTGGTGAGGGCAGATCACCTCCATTTAAGCTGGAACTCAGTTGAAATGAAGTCTGGCTTTAGACTTGGTGAAGACTAGTCTATTTGCGTTCCATGATTTTTCTTCAGGGATTCAGGGGCCCAATGAAACTTGTTTTGTTTACCAGGATTTCTAGTCCTTCATACACTTCAATTTCCTCTATCTCTGGATAAACAATGTCCTAATATCCCGACTTGCCATGAAAGATATTAAAACTCTGTCTTCCCAAATGCTTGAGAGGTCCTAGAAATCCATCAAAGCATTCTTATCTACTGTCAGGTATTCTTTTTTTTTTTTTTTTTTGTCTGTCACGGGGCTTGAACTTTGGGCTTGATGCTGCCTTCAGCTCTTCAGTTCAAGGTCAGTGCTCTACCACTTGAGCAACAGCACCACTTCTGGTTTTCAGGTGGTTTATTGGAGATAAGAGTTCCATGGCCTTTCCTGTCCAGGCTGGCTTTGAACCGAGATTCTCAGATCTCAGCCTCCTGAGTAGCTAGGATTATAAGTGTGAGCCACTGGTGCCTGGCTGTCATGTATTCTTTAACAGTGCTTCCTAGTAAAAAGTTGCAGATAACCCTGATCCATTGACTGTCATTGTTGTTCAATATAAAACTAAGTGAGAAAACACAATCATAATATTCAACGATAACATTTTAAATACAATGGCAATATTTGCCCATGAGAGCATAAGATGAACAGAAAAAAAAGAGATAGCAAATGATTTAAAGTAATGAAGAATTCAAAATGCTAAAAGTTGGTGAAATTAACAGGTCATTTTAAATAATCTTGTTTGCCAATCAAAGTTTACTAATAGGGTATTTTCTCTGTAATCTTTCAGTGATTAAGTCCAGTGGATCAACATTAGGATCCATACTCAAAACTTTATTCAGGACTGAAAACTACTAAATTAAAAATGACTTTAAAACAATATTGATTTGTTTAATTTCAGTTGTTCCTTCGGTCATTCCATGAGAAAGTTGTTGTTTTCCTTTGTTACCTTCATATAGTGATTTATTAAATTGATTCATGTTATAGGAAACTGTAATTGATAGTTTGGGGGGTTAGTACATTTGATTGTAACCTGAGAAAATAAACTTAGAACACAAACTCATTTTATTTAAATAGTTAAAGGGCTAAAACTATAGTTGTGAGCATATTTATGTATCTGTTTCTATTACAGTCTCATAAATAATTTAAAATATCTAATAATTAATATTAAATAGATTATACTCATATTAATTACTATTTAATAATTTAATATTTAATTTAATACCTTCCTAGGTATCTCTAAAATTATTCCAAATTTGATTGCTTCTCTTGACGTCTGTTTTTACAAGCTGGAAAAGGCAGAATCTTCAGATAATCCTCTTGAAGAATGGGAGGAAATAAATGAAAAAATCAATGAAATGAAATCTCAATTGGATGCATTGTTACGCTTTATTGGTAATGTTCCACAATACATGACTTTGGATTCTGGCCTGTAAGTTTCCATAGCTCTCTTTCCTTTTGAAAGAATGTTTGTAAGAGTTTTGTTGCAATATACTTAGCTTACTATACAATTCACCCTTGTAAAGTATACAATTTACTAATTTTCATTATGTTCATAGGGACACCTAAAGACTCTTTTTTTTGGTCGGTCATGGGGCTTGAACTCTGGGCCTGGGCGCTATCCCTTAGCTTTTCAGCTCAAGGCTAGCACTCTACTACTTGAGCCACAGTGCCACTTCTGGCTTTTTTTTGTTTATGCTGAGGAATCGAACCCAGGGCATCATGCATGCAAGGCAAGCACTCTACCACTGAGCCACCTTCCCAGCCCCCTAAAGACTTTTAAAGTATTCACTAACAAACCCTGAGAGGTGATGAATACCTTTGGCAAAGTAGCAGGATATAAAGTCAACCCACAAAAATCAATAGCCTTTTTAGACCAAGAATAAAGGAGATGGAGAGGGAAAACAGAATAATTCTGCTTGCAATATCTTCAAAATAAGATAGGAATAAACCTAATCAAGGAGATAAAGGACCTATAGAATGAAACCTATAAAACTCTGAAGAAAGAAATAGAAGAAAGCATCAGGAAGTGGGAAGACCTCCCATGTTCATGGATTGTCAAATTTAATATTCTGAAGTAGGATACTGCTAAAGTCAGTCTACAAAATCCTGATGTAATTCTTTAGAGAGATAGGGAAATCAATCATAAAATTAGTATGGAAGCCGGACGTCAATAGCTCACGCCTGTAATCCTACCTACTCTGCAGGCTGAGATCTGAGGATCGTGGTTCAAAGCCAAGCCTGCACAAGAAACTCCGTGAGACTCTTATCTCCAATAAACCACTCAGAAAACCAGAAGTGGCGCTGTGCCTCAAGTGGTAGAGGCTTGCCTTGAGCTGAAGAGCTCAGGGACAGCGTCCAGGCCCAGAGTTCAAGCCCCAGGACCGACAAAACACACACACACACACACACACACACACACACACACACACACACACACACACACACACACACACACACACACACACACACACACACACACACACACACACACACACACACACACACACCCAGAGAAATTAGTATGGAGTCACATAGTGAAATAACCAAAGCAATCCTGGGCAAAAAAAAAAAAAAAATTTGCTGGAGGTTTCACAGTTTTAAACTTCAAACTTTACTACAGATCCATGATAAGCAAAACAAGTTAGTACTGGCACAAAAACAAACTTGAAGACCAATGAATCAGACTAGAAGACCCAAAAATGAACTCACACTCCTACAGCCATCTGATTTTTGACATGGAGCTAAAAAGATATGTTGAAAAGACAACCTCTTCAACAACTGGTGTTGGGAAAACTGAATATTCACATACAGAAGACTGCGATTAGACCCCTAATCTTCACCCTATACTAATATCAGTTCAAAGTGGATCAAACACTTTGTGTTCCATTGGCCTCAGGTCTGTTTTTGTGCCAGCATCCAACTGTTTTTGCTGTTATGGATTTATAATAAATTGAAGTTTGGTATTGTGATACAAAACTTGTGATAACCAGCATTCCCCTCTTGTGATAACCCTGTTGCCCAGAACTTTTTTGGTTGTTCAAGGCGTTTGTGTTTCTATATGAATTTTAAGATTGACTTTTCTATCTCTGTGAAGAAAAACTTGGGGATTTTGTGGATATGATGTTAGTTTGCAGATTGTCATTGGCAGTACGGACATTTTTGTGATATTGATCTTACCACTCTAAGAACATTTCCACCTTTTGTGTTTTCTTCAGTTTTATATTGTTTTCATTACAGAGGTCCTCTCCACGTCCTTGGTTAGATTTATTCCTAGGTATTTTATTTTATTTTTTCAGTTACTATGAATGGAGTATGTTTTCCTGATTCCCCTCTCATTGTTTGCTGTTGGTTTACAGAAAAATTACTGATTTTATATATTGATTTTGTATTCTTGATGAAGGTCTTTATTAGCTCTGAGTATTTGGGGATGGAATCCTTGGTGTGTTTAGGTATAGGATAATGTCATGTGTAAATAGAGATAGTTTTACTTCTCCATTTTGATCCGTTTTATTTTTTTGTAGGTAAAAATTTTTGACTTGTATATCTTTTTTGGGGGCTCGGTCGTGGGGCTTGGATTCTGGGTCTGGGCACTGTCCCTGAACTCTTCAGCTCAAAGTGAGCATTCTACCACTTGAGCCACAGTGCCACTTCCTGTTTTCTGGTGGTTAATTGGAGATAAGAGTCTCACGGACTTTCCTGACCAGGCTGGCTTTGCACTGTGCTCCTCAGATCTCAGATTCCTGAGTAGCTAGGATTATAGGCATGAGTCACTGGCACAGCTTTGTATATCTTTGTATATCTTTATTTTTAAGTAGTTGTACAAAGGAATTGCCATTTGACAAAGCACTTTATGTGTACAGTACGTGTGGATCAATATCACCCCTCTCAGCATTCTCACTCTTACAACCCATCTTTCCCCTCACTTTCCTTAATTTTGTAGCATTGAATTTTTTACTACAACTCCTCCCTCCCTCTTGATCCATTTTATTTCTTATTCTTGTCTTATTGCTGGTGGCTAGAAATTCTTGTACTGTATTGAATAGTAGTAGAGACAGTAGAGACCCTTGTTTTTCCTTTTTTTCTTTTATGAATGAATTGTCCCAGTTTTTTCCATTTAGGATGATATTGGCTATAGGTTTGCTATATATACCTTTATTATATTAAGTAATATTCCTTCCTTTTAAATTTCTAAAGAGCTTTTAGCACAAAGAATGTAGAAAGTTGTCAAAAGCCTTTTCTGTATCAGTTGTGATTCTTGGTCTTGGTTCTGTTTGTATGGTGTATAATGTTCACTGATTTCTGTATGCTGAACCAGCAATACTTGGAATGAAACCTACTTAATTGTGTTGTAGAATCTTTATGATTAGTTCTTAAATTATATTAGCAAGTATTTTATTCAATGTGCATGAAAGAAATTGGTCTATAGTTCTGTTTTTTGTTATATTTTTGTCTGCTTTTAGAATGTCTAATACTAGCTTCATAGAATGAATTTAGTAGTATTCCTTCTCTCTCTAAGAATTGAACCATTTCATCTAATTTATCTAAGTTGTTTTGCTTTCCCTGTTCTCTAATTCTTTATTGATTAACAGTTTCTGTTTTTGAGTACATTTAGTATGTTTGCAGGCATGGTTTCTTTGACTTCTTTTTTGCTCTCTTTCTCATTTCAAGAAGCTTCAAATAGTTTATTTAAATTATTTAAACAAATTTAAACTGGTGAAGACACTAAACCAGTTTCATTGGGGAATGGAGCATTCTTTCTCTTCTTATTGTCCTGCTGGAAGCAATTAAGAGGACTTAATGTTCACTATTATTATATTCTCATATAACTCTATGGACCTACTAGTGATTGTAAATGAGTTTTATAGTAGAGAGCTAATATTGAGGGTAAAATATATATTGTCCAAAAATATATTATGACATATACAACCTACCTAGAAAGCTATTTTGATAAAGCTTGCACTGATTTGTGTGTGTGTGTGTGTGTGTGTGTGTATGTGCGTATGTATGTGCGTATGTATGTGTGTGTTTGCGTATGTGCCAGTACTGGGCTTGAACTCAGGGCTTGGGCCCTGTCGCTAAGCTTTTTTTCTCAAGGGTAGTGCTCTAACACTTGAGCCATAGCTCATCTTCCAGCTTTTTGCTGGTTAATTGGAGGTAAAGTAAGAGTCTCATGGACTTTCCTGCTCAGACTGGCTTTGAACTGCAGTCCTCAGATCTCAGCCTCCTGAGTAGCTAGAATTACAGGCATAAGCTATCAGTGCTTGTCTTGGATTGACTTTTGCCTAAGTTCTTGGAAAACTGTCAACACCTAAGTTTATTATGTCCAACCAAATAAAACCCTTTCTTTTAGCTGATAGTTACTAATAGATGCTAAGCAAGTCACCTATCTTTTTCTTTTTTTTTGCCTGATTTTTTTTCCCTTCAGGTCACTTCAAGATCATATATTTAATATGATTCAACAATTGAGTTTGAAGATAGGAAATGAAATTAACAATGGTAACATTGAACTTCGGCGCCATGTATGTAACTTATAAGGCTTTGGTGAAGTTATCTTTGCCTTGCCTGGTAGTTTTCTTCAAGGATGAAGCAGGCCAACTGAAACAGGGAGTTGGAAAAACAAAATGGAAGCTTCTATGATAGTTACTCAAATGGTTTTCAACATGTCAAAAATATAGTTTAGGAAATTATCAAGTTTTATTTTTTTTTGTCGGTCCTGGGGCTTGAACTTTGGGCCTGGGCAACAATCCCTGAGCTCCATTTACTCAAAGTTAGCACTCTACCACTCAAGCCACAGTACCACATTGGTTTTTTTTTGAGTAGTTTATTAGAGATAAGAAGAGTCTCATGGACTTTCCTGCCCAGTCTGGCTTCAAACCTCAATCCTCAGATCTCAGCCTCCTGAGTAGCTGTTATTACAGGAATGAGTCACTGGTGCCCAGCTCCTATCTTAAGTTTGAACATTCCTCCATCTTAAGGAAATTAGCCTATCTGGATTTACAAATTTCTTGGTTTAAGCTTACAACACCATTATATAAGCAGAATACAAGAGGGAGTAAAAGAAGACATCCAAGTAAATAAATTGTGTAGACCTCCTGACTCTATAAGCATGGACTAGTAGAAATAGTCATTTCTGTCTCTACTTATTTAGAAGACTCTGGCCAAAAATATGAGTTTGCCTAGAATGTCTTTAATGACAGATATCCATGTACATGCGAGAACAACATCTTTTAAACTTCTTGGCTTATTTGGTTTTGGAAGGGCTGGCACAAGTGACCCCAATTACATTCTGACAATTTGCCCTCTTATATGAACAAATTTTTCTCTAAACTTTTTTCTGGACAATTTTCTTAGAATGGTCCACCAGCCCATGAACTGCCCATGGTTGACTGAAGTCCCTTGTCATATATACATGTTAATTTAGCTTTTCCTTTGGAGCAAAGTTGTGGGATTCTTTGTTTGTTTTGTCAGTCATGGGGCTTGAACTTGGGGCCTAGGTGCTGTCCCCTCGGTTTTTGTTGTTGTTGTTGTTGTTCAAGACTAGCATTCTACCACTTTGAGCCACAAAACTACTTCCAATTTTCTGTTGGTTAATTGGAGCCTCATGGGTGTCTGTGCCCAGGCTGGTTTTGAACCTCAGTCCTCAGATCTCAGCCTACTGAATAGCTAGGATTACAGATGTGAGCCACCAGAGCCCATCTTAGCTAAGGTAACAAGAATACATAAGTGATACAAATAAAAACTACATATTTTGCAAGTTAGGGAGTAGAGCCAATGATTCCAGATAGACATGCCATAATATTCAAGGGCATCTCACATGTACACTAGTGCTCATTTAGTTAATAAAAATGGAAATAGGCAGGCTTTAAATATCAGGGCAGTCCATATGACAAGTATATTTTTTTTAATAGTACTGATGACCAATAACAGTTTTCATTTAATCAAGATTACTCACTAATGGAATACATGTGTTTGTTGAGCTCTACAGAGTTTGTTTTAAGCAAGGAATCAGATTGGATAGTACTTTCTACATTCCCATTCAACATTTATTTTCACACAGTAATGGGTTTTATCTCACAATATCAAAAAGATTGGAAATGTATGAGGTGATAAAATATGCATATGATTGATAAGTTTGTGATGTGCTATGTCTCATATCATCATTCCCCTCAGTTTAAAAATCCCATAGCAACCTTGTGAATGTCTGTGGAGCACTAGCAGCCTTGGAAAGTACAGCTTTAATGAATTAATCTTGGCAAAGCTAAAGAATAGAGTAGTTTGTAGGATAGTAAGCAAAAAGAAATAGGATTACACTGGTTTAGTAATGATTAGTTGATTTTATAGTTGAAAGTTGGACACAGGTATGATCCTTTCTGTCTTTAAATTTTTAATGGCTTTTACTGTTTATGTCAAGTGAGTCATTTGTATTGTAATTATTTTTAAACAGGTGGATGCGTTGCATATAGTTATGGTCCAGTGGATGGTAAACTTGCTGATTGTAATGGTTCCTGACTTAACTGACCCGGACACTCTTCCAAAGTTGGAGCAGGACATTATTGAAAGTACTAAGCAACGTGATGTAGGAATTGCAGAATTAGAGCTAAATGCGATTGAACTGTCCAAAAAGTTGGCCCAATACTCCTGCTATTTGGCCAGGTGAAACTCTGGTTGTTTTATTGCTGTCCATTTGATGATAAAATGGACATAAGGTAGAAAAAGACAATATAATAGGATTTACTTTAAAACCTTGAAAGAAATCTGAGTAGAGTTTTTCAGCTACCTTCAACACTGTACCCAACTGGAATATGAGACTTTCTCTTCTCCCAGTAGCCTTAATATTCTTTTGGAAGCAGTGTTAGCATAGTGAAACATGTGTATATAAACACAGATTTTGAGTTTACTAATGGTCAAGGATGAAAGGCATGGAAAAAAGAAGAGAAGAATTTTAGAGTGCTAGGAATGTGGCTTAGTGGTAGAATGTTTGCCTAGCAGGCATAAAGCTCTGGGTTTGATTGCTCAGTACCACATAAAGAGAACAAGCTGGAAGTGGCACTGTGGTTCAAGTGGTAGAGTGCTAGCCTTGAGCAAAAGAAGCTTAGGGATAGTGCCCAGGCCCTGATTTCAAGTCCCAGGACTGAAAAAAAAGAATTTTAGAAAGGGATAAATTATTCTCCTTTGTTAAGTTACTGAGTTATGGTAAATTTCCATTTGGGCAGGATTTTAAACACTTAGAGGAACCAACAATAAACAGACCATGCTAGGAATGTTAGTCAGCCTCCCATTACTCTATACCTAAGATAGTTAACTTTGTTTTTGTCAGTCATGGGGCCTGAACGCCAGGCCTGGGCCCTGTCCTTCAGCTCTTCAGCTCAAGGCTAGTGCTCTATCACTTGAGCCACAGAGCCACTTGTGGCTTTTTCTGCTTATGTGGTGCTGAGGAATCAAACCCAGGGCCTCATGCATGCAAGGCAAGCACTCTACCATTGAGCCACTTTCCCAGCCAAGATAGTTAACTTAGAAAGAGAAAAGGTTTGTGTAGGTTTTGGAGGTTTCAGTCCATGATTGATTGACTTCAGTGTTTCAAGCCTGTCGCTAGGCAGCACATCATTATAGGAGTGCAAAGTGGAAGGACTCCAGAAGTCAGGAAAAGGGGAAGAATCAAAAAGACTGGGTTCCCACATCCTCTTCAAGGGCTCGTTGTCATGACTAGTGATTTCTACAAGACTCCACCTCTTAAAGATTTCACCACATCCCACTGGTGTGTCATCTTAGGGAACCAAACCTTTAATATATGTGCTTTGTTGGGGTGGGCACATATACAGACCATAGTACTGAGTCTATGTGTTTTTTTATTTTCTCTGTATTTCTTTCTGTCTCTTTCTTTCCCTGCCTCTCTCCTTCCTTCCTTCCTTCCTTCTTTCTTTCTTAATTTCTCTTTCTCTCTCTTTCTTTCTCTTTTTTCTTTCCTTCCTTCCTTCCTTCTTTCCTTCCTTCTTCCTTCTTTCACAGTTGTTGCAACGTGATGGTAACAGCAATCACTCTGAGTAAAGCAGCTCACTTAGAAAAAGATGCCTCTAAGGAACGTCAAGAACTGGAAAAGTTAAAGGTAAGAGCTCTTTCTTTACCTTAATTTTTTTTAAGCAGTATTTCAAGGTTTGGTTTATTTAAAACAAACTGCACATGTTTTGGGTATACCATTTTATGAGTCCCAAAATATACACATACCTACAAAAGTAATGACTAAAAATAAAAATGGGGAATATATCCAACACACCAAAAGTCTGGATAGGTTGTAAATTCTTTCAGCTTTGTCTTGTCCCCAGGCAATATCTGACCCCCTTTCTAGCCAGATTCCTTTTTATTTTCTAGAATTTCTAAAGCTGAAATCATAGAATATATTCTTCTGGTCTAAATTTTTTGATTAAGCATAATTGAAAATCACATGCATTGTGCTTTTATCAAAAAGTAATGAACTTGTTTTATGTTGTGTGAGTCTCTTTCATTGCTGTGACAGGTTGCCCAAGAAAACAAACTATAAAAGGAAAGGACTTACTTTGGTTCATGTTTTAAGATGTTTCAGGCTATAGTCAGCCAACTCCATTGATGTGAGGATAGAGTATCACGGTGGAGAGGGTGTAAAAGAACAGAATTGCTTACTTTATGGCAGCCTAGAAATAAAGAAGACAGACAGGAAGGGGCCAGGATGATATAGGGAGTAGGTCCCACCCGCTTATACCCAACCCATTCATTATGAACACATCAGTGAATGAGTTCATGGATGAAGTTGACACCCTTATTATCCAATCACCTTTCAATGTACCCAGTTGGGGGGCGGGGAAGGGCAAACTTTCAACAGATAAGCTTTTCTTTTTTTGTCAGTTGTGGGGCCTGAACTCTGGGCCTGGGTGCTGTCCTTCAGCTCTCAGCTCTTCAGCTCAAGGTTAGTGGTCTACCACTTGAGCCATAGTGCCAATTCCGGCTTTTTCTGCTTACATGGTAATGAGGAATCGAACCCAGGGCCTCATGCATGCAAGGCAAATACTCTACCACTGAGCTACCTTCCCAGCCCAAGATAAGCCTGTTTTTTAAGGGGAAGGCACTTGATATCCAAACCATAACAGAATTTTTTTTAATACAGATGCACATAGTTTACTTATAAATCCTCCATTAATGGGTATTTGAATTGTTTCCAGGTTTTTATTATTATAAGCAAAGATTTGGTGTACATTTTTGTACACCAAATGTTTCTTGGAAGAAACATTTATATTTGCATGTCTCTTGGGTAATAGCTAAGAATGGAGTGTGTACATTTTCTAAAGTGTCTAAACCATTTTTGCATTCCTGCTAACAGTAAATAAGTGTGAGTTCACATTTGAACTCATACTTGATGTGCCCAGTGTTTTAAATTGCAAGCATTCTAAAAGGTGGGTAGTAATATGTTATTGTGGTTTTAAGTTGCATTCCTTAATGACTAATAGTGCCAAACATCTTTGATTATGCTTTTTTGTTGTACTAGGGTTTGAACTCAGGGCTTTATGCTTGCTAGCAGGCACTCTACAACTGGAACCACTCTCCCCACCATTCTTGTTTTCATAAAGTCTCATTTATATGCCTAAGCCAGCTTAGAAATTGATCTTCCGATGGCCAGGTGCTGGTGGCTTACACCTGTAATCCTAGCTACTCAGGAGGCTGAGATCTGAGGGTCTTGGTTCAAAGCCAGCCTGGGCAGGAAAGTCTGTAAGACTCCTATCTCCAATAAACCACTCAGAAAACCGGAAGTGGTGCTGTGGCTCAAGTGGTAGAGCGCTAGCTCAGCTTGAGCTGAAGAGCACAGGGACAGCGCCCAAGCCAAGAGTTCAAGCCCCACAACCGACCAAAAAGAAAAAAGAAAAAGAAATTGATCTTCCTGTTTATGCTTTTTGCTTAGCTGAGAAGATATGGGCATGTCACCGTACCCACTGTGGTTTTGTTTTTTTTAATTATTGAGATGGTATCTTGTGAACTTTTTTTTTGGCCTCTAAATGTGATTCTCCCAACTCTGCCTCTCAAATAGCTAGGATTACAGGCTTGATTTCATGTATCTTCTTTGGTGAAATGGCTGTTCAAATCTTTGGCTCATTAAATATTATTAACATCTTTATTTATTATTGATTTTCTGGAGTTTTTTTTTTTTTTTGTCAGTTGTGGGGCTTGAACTCAGGGACTGGGTGCTGTCCCTGAGCTCTTTTGCTTAAGGCTAGTGCTCTGTCACTTTAAGCCACAGCACCACTTCTGGTTTTCTGGTGGTTAATTAAAGACAGAAAATACGAGAGTCTCACAAACTTACTCCGTGGGCTGGCTTTGAACAACAATCCTCAGATCTCAGCCTTCTGAATAACTAGGATTATAGATGTGAGCCACTGGCACCTAGCTCAGGAGTGGTTTTTTAAAAAATTCTGAATATATAATAAATTCTGAATATATGATAATATATTCTAAATATATCTGACTTTTGTCACATACATATGTTTAAAAACACTTTCTCCTAGTCTGTGATTTTTTATTTTCTTAATAGTGACTGTGAAAGCTAGGCAGTTCTTAATTTGAGGAGTATTTTTTAAATTTACACATATTACTTGAATGCTTCATGATACTTTCATGAATTGATATATGGTACTTTGATAATATACACTTTCTCTCACTTCCCTTTTTGAAAACCAATTTTAATGGGTTTTATTATGCTTTTCCTGATGTATATAGTATACTTCTATTGTATTTATATATCTCCCTTAATAGGTAGTTCTAAATTTAGTGAAATTTAGCCTTCTTTTTTTTTCTCTCTCTCTGTCATTATGGATCTTGCTTTTTTTTTTTCTTTTTCTGTGCCAATCCTGAGGCACTGTCCTTGAGCTTCTTTTGTTCAAGGCTAGCACTCTACCACTTGAGCCACAGTGCCACTTCCAGCTTTTTCTGTGTATTTGGTACTGAGGAATCAAACCCAAGGCTTTATGCATGATAGGAAAGCACTCTACCACTAAGCCACATTCCCAGCCTGGAGCTTGCTTTTGATACAGCATCCAAGAAAAATCTTTGTATACATATCACAAAGATTGTCCCCTTACATTTTTTCCCCAGAAGTTCTATAGTTTTATCTCCTATGCTGTAGAGTGGAAGCTGTTTTCCAGAGCAACTTTGTCTAATGTGGATTACATCAATGTTAAGAGACACCATGTTCCAGGGCTTGAAGTACATTTTGCAAACTTTCCAGGTGGAAATGAAGAAGACATTAGAGATAGGTTTCTACAATCTAATGTTTCTTGGCTCCCTTCCAGTAAAAAAGATTTGCCTGATTCTGGACAGGGTTCTGACACAGGAGACCTCAAACAAATTTTGGGAGTTTGATCACTATTACTCCACTTTGCCAACAAAACATTCTAGATAAAATAATTCTTTAAAAACAATGATTTTTCAAGAAGATATGGGATTATGTAGTTTCTCAAGACCACAAGGCAGTGATCCTTGTATATTTGATCCAGTCTGATATCACATACTGATCTCTGATCAAAAGCAGAAGACCAACTTTTAGGAGGACTTGGTTCCAAGGATCCTTGCTGCTGTGCCTAGTTATGAATAGTATATTTCACCTGTTCCACTTGGTAATGAATAACTGAGGAAGATCATCTCCTATTCTGTAGATTTTGTCCCTTGATTCTGTTAATTGTTTCCTTTGCTGTGCAGAAACTTTTACATTTGATATAATGCCATTTGTTAATTCTTGTTCTTCTTTCCCAAGCAGTTGGAATTCCATTCAGACAAGTATTACCTATGCTTCTATTGTCAGTGGTCTTCTGTATGTTTTTCTCTAATAGTTTCAAAGTTTCAGGCTTTACATTGAAATTTTTGGCCTATTTAAATTTTTTTTTTGTAAACTAGTCTTGTACAAGGTTTGTTGTCCACTTTTGGGTGATCTTTGCTTCAGAAGTATTGTAATCTGGGAGCTGCTGCTGGCTGTGTCTCTGGAACCTATGGGCTGGGCAGAGTTTATGTTCCCATGAGCTGCAAGTATGCAAGCCTCAGGTGACCCCCGAAAGCATCAGGGAGTGGTGAGAGCAAATAGAATATTGGGTTCTATACTGACTAAGGGACCTAGTCTCTCAGAAGAGGCTGTGGAAGTCTCCTCCATAGGATTGAGTAAGTGAGTAAGTTGGTATAGTCTGATTCCCCCCCCCCCCCCACACACACATAGTAATCATCTTTTATCCTTTCTCAGAGAGAATGTTTTGAGTGGATCAGCACATGTACTTACCTCCTCTCTGATATCAAAGGCAAAAATGTAAGATTATTGACATATGAAGAAATTGTTCAACTACTTGGAGAAGAGGTATATACCACATGTTCACATTATTTGGTTTATAAGAAAATGAATGGTAGCTGGGCACTGGTGGCTCATGCCTGTAATCCTAGCTAATCAGAAAGCTGAGATCTGAGGATCATGGTTTAGAGCCAACCTGGGCAGGAAAGTCTGTGATACTATTCAACTCCAATAAACTACTCAGAAAAGGCTGGGAGTGGCACTGTGGTTCAAGTGGTAGAGCGCCAGTCTTGAACAAAAGAAGCTCAGGGACAGTGCCCAGGACCAGGTCAAGCCCCAGGACCAGCAAAAAAAGAAAAAAGAAAAAGAAAAAGAAAAGGCCTTCAAATCCTTCCTGCATTTCAATAGATAAGTCTCAGCAACTTTTTCCAATCAGTATTCTGACTGATCAAGTGTATTGGTGTAGCTGCACACTACTGTCTCACAGCTTCAATTCTAGCATTCAGGAGGCTAAGATCCAGAAGACCTCGTTTAAAACAGCCGAGATTCCATCTCAGACAATAACCAGAAAAGAGCTAGACTGGAGGTCTGATTCAAATGGTAGAACACCACCCCAGTAAGCAAATTGAACAAAGTGAGACAAACAAATGAAGTAAGCAAAGTGAGACCCTAAATTGAAACCACTAAACATGGCTTATTACATGAGAGGGGGGGGTCTTGCTTTTCGCATGGGCTGGCCTTGAACTGCAATTCTCTCAGTCTGTACTTACTGAGTAGCTGAGAGTACAGGTGTAACCCACCATGCCTGTCTGTTTCTTGCTGTTTTAAGTAAAATATCTTTCATTATATTTTTAAATGGTTAACGGTTTCTATATATTTGTTCATTTTTTTGTATTTTATTTTCATATGCTGTAGATTTACTAAATTATCTTTTGCAACTAATTCTTTGAGATAACCTAGAATCAAATCATCTGTAATTAGAAACAATTTTATGTTTTTCTTATTCTGATAATTTAATTGCTTTTTCTTGTCCAATAGTATTCTAATGACTTCCAGTCCAATGTTAAATAACAATGATGATAGCAAGTATCCTTTTATTTCTGACTTTAGTAGGAATGCTTGTCGTGATTTACCTTAAAGTAAAACTTGTCAGTGAGCTTGATTCAATGGTTAAATGATTTTAATTTCTTCATTCTTCCTTCAGGTATCTCAACCATTCTACCTGGGGATACTTTTCTCCTGCCTTACCTTTAGTGTTTTGTTTAGTGAAGACTTACTCAAATTCGGTCTGAAAATATCTTTCTTTCATTCTTAAATGTTTTGTTGGGTACACACTTAGCTCTATAATGGCATTATCTCTTCTCAGCACACTGACAATATTATTTCTATTGTTTTCTTTAGTTTATAATTGTACAACTGACAATTGAGGCTTCTGTTGTCAGTCCCTTTGTAGTTAATCTATCTCCACTCTTTGTCCACTTTTAAGGTCTTTTTTTCCTTTGGCATTTTTACCTCACTCTAATGTACATGGACATTGGTTAGTCAAACTTGAATAAGCTCCTCTTCCTTTCCTTTTTTTCATTCCACTCTACTAGTGGCCTCTTATGCTTGTGAGGCTGTTTTCTGAGGCTCTTTGTAGACTCCTTTATCTTCTTTACTACTGTATATATCCAGCTTCCCATCCTAAATTCTTGTCCTTATACCATTCTAAATTCAATTTGTATATGTGATTTACTGTATTGGCTTTACTGTCAAATCTTGATCTCTAGCCCTCATCTCTCCTAGACTCCATATATTTCCCACAGTTTACTGGATATTTATAATTGGACACTTAAGTGATACCTCAAATACACACAATCTAACCTGAGTTCAGCTCTCTCCCCAAATTTGCTTATTCAAGTTGTTCAGCATTTCTGTAAATGACATCAGCATATGTCTTGTGGCCTAAACCATAAATCGTGTGTCACTAAAGATGTATTGTATGTGTGTGTATGTGTGTGTGTGTGCGTGTGTGTATGCTAGAACTGAGGTTTGAATTCACAACCTCTTACTCTTGCTTAGCTTTTTATTCCCTTCAAGACTGGTATTCTACCACTTGAGCCATACCTCTACTTCCGGCTTTTTGCTGGTTAATAGGAGATAAGAGTCTTTTGGACCTTCCTGCCTGGGCTGGCTTTGAACTTTGATCCTCAGATTTTAGCCTTCTGAATAGCTAGGATTATAGACATGAGCCACTGGTGCCTAGCAAGATGTGCATTTTGATATTGGGATGATGGTACCATCATCCCAGGACTTAGGACATGGAAGCAGGAAGATCGAGAGTTTGAAGCCAGCCTGGGCTACATAGTGGGATCCTATCTCAAAACAGCAGAGATGAGCGCTTCCCTTCACCATCCCTGTTCCTCTCATCAGTCACTATGTCATGCATGTCTTGAATCACTCTTGAATTCTCTCCTTCCCTCCCACAACCACCATGCTACTCATTCCTTCCCTATGACTTTGTCTTCTCTTCATTCTCTCTTTCCTTCTTTGTATTTTCTCTTCCCTTCTTTCCTTTCCCTAATTGGATTTCCTGTTGTTAGAGCGGTTGCCTTAAAATGCAAAGCAGATCAATTTGCTTAATTGTCTTAGGGTAAAATCCAATTGCTCTGGCATGTCAATCCAGCTTTCCACCAGGATTGTGCTTCTAGACCTTTGAGGTTAAAGATTTCTCCTGTTGGACTACTCTTGTTCTCAGATCCACTCATCATATACACACTACATCCTCTGCATGAATCCTCCTTTCTTTCTACTCTCTGTAAGAACCCAGTGAACTATCATGACCCAACTTCTTCTTTCACTGTGTCTATCATATAGATTTGGTGCTTTTTCTCTTTGACTATATCCATAGCATTGTACTGTCTACAAACCTGTAAGCTCCTTAAAAGCAGGGACTGTTCTTACCAACCTTTGTGTTATTATTTTTACTAGCACAGTACTCAACTGCTCATTTAATATCTGAATAAATAACTGCTAATATTTATATACATGAAACTAATCATAATATTGTCATGTTGCACAGGAAGTTATAAAACAGTTTACAGAATCTGAACTAGAGGATCTTTTCAAAGAGGATGAAGAAGGAAACCAAATGGGTGAGGAACCTCAAAAGGAAGAGACAATAGAGAAAGTAGCAGAGGTAAGATTGTATCATTCATATAATGACTACATGGGAGTATATACAGTGTCTTCTTAGTGACTAATACAATAAAGGTGTTTCTTACCACAATAAAGAATGAATAAACATTATAAAAAATAGGTATCATTTTTACTCTAGAGACAACTTGCTTTCTGTGTATTAAAAGTGTATTTCTGGACTGGGAAGATGGCTCAGTGGTAGAGTGCTTGCCTTGCATGCATGAGGCCCTGGGTTTGATTCCTCAGCACCACATAAGCAGAAAAAGCCAGAAGTAGTGCTGTGGCTCAAGTGGTAGAGTACTGGCCTTGAGCTGAAGAGCTGAGGGCCAGTGCCCAGGCCCAGAGTTCAGGCCCCACAACTGACAAAAAAAAATGTGTATCTCTTTCCTAATAAATTTTATCTTTTTCACTGAATAAAAGAAGTAAAATTATTTTATGGATGTGAAGAAGGAAAATCATCTGAGTCCATGGCAGCATAGCCAGGTCCCAGACAAAGACAAAAATCAAGATACATCAAGCAGAAAAGGTCAGATAAGTTGATGTTAGGGAAATGAACCCTAAGATATGTATTCAAATGTTTTTTTTCTTTCACTTGATTATTTCTAACACATTTATAAGATTATTTCTTTGTTGCTTTGTATGCCCCCTCCCCCCAACACAGTATAACCCCTGCTTTCACTGTATTTGATGTCGGTATAATTTGTGGAGGGGAAGGGAAAAAACAAATCGTTTAAATAGGGATACAGGTGGACCCATTGCAACAATGAGATGTACAAGTTGTTATGTCGAAAACGAACTTTACAACTTTGGTGGGGGAGGAGGAGGATTGGGTGGGGGTGTGGGGGGAGGATGGGAAGGGGAAACAAAGGAGGAGGCTACAATGCTTGATAAGAAATATACTCATTATCTTGCTCATGTAATTGTAACCCCTCTGTACAGTATTTTCACAATAAAAAAAAAAATCAAGATGCAATAATGATGATGATGATTATTTCCTTTCCTTTCATCTTTTTTTTTTTTTTTTGAGGTGGTGTTAGTACTGGGGTTTGAACTCAGGGTTTCATGCTTGCTAAGGAGGTATTCTACCACTTGAGTCACATGGCCAGAGCTTTTTTTTTGTCGGTTGTGGGGCTTGAACTCTGGGCCTGGGTGCTGTCCCTGTGTTCTTCAGCTCAAGGCGAGTGCTCTACCGCTTAAGCCACAGCAACACTTCTGGTTTTCTAGTGGTTTTATTGGAGATAAGAGTCTCACGGACTTTTCTACCCGGGCTGGCTTTGAACCGTGATCCTCAGATCTCAGCCTCCTCAGTAGCTAGGATTACAGACATGAGCCACTGGCGCCTGGCAGAACTTTTTTTGCTTTATTTTTGAAATAGGGTCTTATATTTTGCCCAAACTGCAAGACCATGGTTGTCTTTATTTATACTTTCCTCCACAGCTAGGATAACACTGGATCTGTTTTTTTTTTTTTTCTGTCTACATAGAAAGAAAATTCTCTTGCATTTTTTTTTTTGTCTGTACTGGCCTTGAACCATGGCTCTTCTGATTTTAGCTTCCGAAGTAGCTAGGATTATGGTATGAGTCACTGACATCTGCTCCCTGAATCTTTTAAAGAATAGATAGATAAGTGCTATGGAAATTAGAACTATGTCAGTGTAGTCAGTTCTTGGACTTCCTTCTCTCATACAGATTGAACCACACCTGCAGGTATACTTATCTTTGTCACTTTTCCCCCCTGATGAACGAGGGTCTCTTTTCCTTTATAAATTCGATCATTTTCCATAAGCTTCTGTCCTATTTACACAATCTACCTATTACCGTGGTACTGTTTCTTTGTCCCTTCATTGCCAGACATTTCAAATAAGATTTTACTTCTTGTCTCAACTGCCTCAGCTCCTGTTCCTGAGCTGCCCTTTCCCCTTCCTCCCACCTGCAGCCTCACACCTCTTTCTCTTACTCTCTCTACTCTGCACATGTATTTAGTAGTCATAGCTATACAATAATAAGTAGCAATAGTTGTGTTTCTATCAGGAATTCTATGTTCTACACCTTCCTTCAGATCTACACAATACAACAACAAAGTATAAAAATTACCCTAATTTTACAGAATACCTAAGCTCTGAAAGAGCAATGTACCTCAAATCAATAGCAGAACCAACACTCAAACCCCAATGAGATTGGAAGAAGAGCATTTGCTAATGCCTAGACTGACTGCTACTACCTTTGGCTTTCAGAACTTATGTTGGCCTAATGCTTCCTCAAGTGTCTTGATTTACTTTCCTAGTGTTTCTTCTCTGCATGTAGCTTAAAAGTTGCTACAAGCCTCCAGGCTGTTACTGGCCACCTTACTCTCTGTAAAGGCAGGACAGCAGAATAAAGTTATTACACAACCCCCAGTTCTTTTTTGACAGTATCTTCTGTTTTATCCTGGTACAGTGCTTAGCATATAGATAGCCAAATACTACTTTTCCATTTATTTACAGAATACCTTAAAGGCATTATAATATATATACAATAATTATCATATAATTATGAGATAGCTATTATATATCATTACATCTAATAACTATCACATATGATAATTATGTATTATATTGTTAATTGTTATTAATTATATACAAAATAGAATAATTCGATATTAATGTTATAATAACTGCTCCTATTATTATTAATATTGTTATCTGTGGGCTTAGTTTGGGCCCTTCTCTATTAGGTCTTCAAATATTATTTTCTCTTTGAGCACTTTATGGCATTTCTTGGAAGAATGTAAGGCCCTTTTCTGGGAGCACATCCCTTGGAATATACCTTTAAGCTAACAGTAATCATATTGTACATGAGTATTTTATTATCTTTCTCTCTTAATATACCATCAATTCCAAAGTTGTAGAAGAAATCCTCTTTATTATCCCAATAATCATCTCTTGCTGTCCCCACGCCCTCAATATGTAAGTGTTTGGTTGGGCAAACCTTCAAAAAAGGCCCAAGGAAGGTCAGTGCTAGTGACTCATGCCTATAATCATAGCTACTCAGGAGGATGAGATCTATGGATCATGGGTCAAAGCCAGCCAGGTAGAAAAGTCCATCTCCAATTTACTAGAAAACTAGAGACATAGATCAAATGGTAGCATGCCAGGTAAGAGTGAAAAAGCTGAGTGATAGTGCAAGGTCTACTACTAGTAAAAAAACCCACACCAAACCAAACAAAAATAGCAGCAACCAAACCATCTGCAGAATGATGAAAGCAAATGCACATTTAAAGCTTCAGACAAAATGGAAACTTCAGGTTACTTGACATGCTTTTGTCAAGCTGGCTAACAGGTCCTTCGTTTTCTGTACTATAGGAACCTTCAACATCTACAAACAAGGAAAGAACTGTTCGATTCCTTGGCAAAGATAAAAATATTCATTCCAAGTTTCTAGATGCAGCAGATGTCTTGACATCCTGGGTATGTATCTGAAACCCAACTAGAAAAATTAAAGTGAACTTAACACATGGGTGTCATCAGTGTCGTGAATATAACATAACATTCAGTTCCATAATGCATTTTACAGTTTTTCCTTCTTGCATAATCCCTGGAAAACTCTCTGTGTCTTTTGGTTGAAACAGATACTTGAACTCAGTACCTGACCCTTTTTTGTTCATTGTCTAGCACTCTTCAAATGAGCTGGGGCCATGTCTCCAACCCTCCCCCCAGCCTTTTTTTTTTTTTTAACCTTTCACTTTACAAAAACTTTACAAAAACTTTTAATCTTTAAACCTTATTTTAATATCAGAATTTCATTCCTCTCTTTAGTTTAACAATCTTTTGGTCAATATCTGAGCAGTTTTCAAAGACATCCATTCAACAGGTTTTATTGAGAGCTGTGATAACACATACCAACTACAAGGTTGTTGGGATTTTGGAAACGTACAGAAACTTACTGCTGTGGGAATTTAGTGATAAACAAGATTTTAAATTTCCCCATAGAAATTTCATTTAGGTCAATGGTAGACTTGTCAGGCTCATCAGGTTCTCCACAGAAAGCTGCTTTTTAGGAGTCTGTAGATTTGCCTCATTCCATCAATCTGCAGAAACTGAATGCAACATTTTATGTGTATGCTCATGTGTATTTTCTTGAATTGAGGGTAGAGGTGAATAGGTTTTTTATCAATTCTAAAGTTAAGAGCCATTAAAATTGTTAAGGGTCCTTTATATTGGGAGGTGGTGGTATATAGGTGGTGACTATGACAGAGTAGCAGTGAATAGCAGCCAGATCTCTTAGGTTGAGGTCAGTCCCAAAGTAGAAACAAGTTGCACTGATGTATACCCAGGGAGGCTATGGGCGATGTGATCCAATCTTGGTAGAAAGAAGTAGTTATGTGGAGAGCAAGATTGGAGTGAGGATTTGTACAAGTTGGGCATTACAAATACATTTCCCAAAGTAGAACCTTTTTAAACAAGTTTTAAAAATAATATATTAGTATGCCAGTCATTAAGACTGTGAGTCAAAGATGTGAGAAACAGTATAAATGGAATGAAGTATCATGAGTCCTGTCTTAAAAAAAAAAAAGAATCACCAGTCCCAGACAAAGCCCTCTTGCCGAAGTTAGGACCTTGCTGAGCCAACCACAGCAGGAATCAGAGGGAGGCTCTGGAGCCAGGAAATGGGGGGATGGGGAAGGAAGGGAAAGACGGAAGAAAGGGCAGAGAGACAAAAGCCTGTGGTCTGCAGGTGTAATTTGCCATATATCTCTGAGACTCGAGTTGTAGAATAGGAAGGCTACAAGGAATACATGGACAAAGAACAGAATGACATGCAACTTCATGCCACCGAGGGGCACAATTTAAAGTTTATGAATGTAATTTTTAAAAGTTCTGGGGAAATATAATGTTTATTTGAAAATATGCTTATATGTTTTTGTCCTCCAATTTCTCCTCTCACTTTGCTCTTATTTTGTTTCAATACCATATCTAGATTCAAAATAAATCTTTCCCAACAAGATGTATACTTTAACTGAACTTTCCCTAAGGAGTTTAAAATTTGTACTTGTTTCTGCAATATTACATGCTTAATGAAATAAATAAATAATAAGAAGATAGGTATAGTTAGGCTCCAATCTTTACTTACTTATTTTTTATCAGTTGCAGGGCTTGAACTGAGTGCTTGGGCACAGTCCCTGAGTTCTTTTGTTCAAAGCTAGTGCTCTACCACTTTGAGCCACAGCCCCATTTCCAGATTTTGAGTGGCTAATTAGAGATAAGAGTCTTACGAGGACTTCTTTGCCCAGGCTGGCTATGAACAGCAATCCTCAGATCTCAGCCTCTTGAGTAGCTAGGATTACAGGCATGAGCCTCTGGCACCTACTTTTAATTTTATTTATTAGAGAAAAGTGTTTATCTTCTTTTTCTCCCTTTCTTTCTTCCTCTCTTCCTCCCTCCCTCTGTAGTTGTGCTGGTACTAGGGGTTGAACTCAGGGCCTAGGCACTGTCTCTGAACATTTTTTGCTCATGGCTGGAGCTCTGCTACTTGATCCACAGCTCCACTTCTGGTTTTTGGTACTTATGTGGAGATAAGGGTCTCATGGACTTTCCTCCCTGGGCTGGCTTTGAACCATGATCCTCAGATCTCAGTTTCCAAAGTAGCTAGGATTGTTGCATGAACCACTGGTACTCACCCTTCTCTTTATTTTAAAACATTTTTTCCTTGTTCCTTTTAGCTCGTACTGATTTCTCTACTTCATTTTGATAATTGAATGAACAACACAACAAATTTGTGTCACACTGTGGTTATAAATAACTTGGAAGCCACTGTATGATTTGGCCACAATCCAACTATTTTTAGTTTGGTTGTTAAAAATGAGCTTAATGATCTACTCGATAATTATGAGTAAAGAAAGTATATTGGAGGGCTTGACCCCAGACATTTAGAAGTAAAATATTAATATTGGGCTCTTGATTCATTTGTGTCATGTATTTCCTTTTGTCAGAGAAAAGCGGCTGGCAAAGGCACATTGGCCCAAAAGTATATTGAATTAATGGCTGTAATGGAACACATGCAGGTGAAGTTAATGTAAGTATGATCACAATGGTCAGAGGATAAAGACTGCTAGCCAGAGGGTTTAGCTGAAAAACTGCACTATTGGCCTACTTTTGTCTGTTCTGTTTGCTTTATTTGGGGATGGGTATTTATGAATCTTCAAGAGGCAGTGAACTATACTATTATCATAGGAACATCTATCCTTACAGTAGAGATGTAGCGATGAAGGAAGTCAAGGTGTATATATGTTTATGTTGAGGGAGTAGGAGTAATCCATTTCAGCATATTTATTTTCTTTTGTGCCAGTACTGGGGCTCGAACTTAGAGGCTATGTGCTGTTCCTTAGCTTTTGCGTTCAAAACTGGTACTGTATCCTTAAGCCACAGCTTCATGGCTGGCTTTCCTTTCCAGGCTGCTTTACACATTGATCCTCAGATCTCCTTCTCTAGAGTAGCAAGTATTACAGGATGAAGCTACCAGTGCCTGGCTTCAGTATGTTTCTAAGTGACTACTTGAAATAAATGGAACTGGAGGGGGAAATACTAATAGGCAGTTAGAATTCCTAAGGATCCTAGGAGAAGAATATGGTCACATAGACATATATCACATACTTAAGTAGGTAGGTAGTGCATCTTTTCTGGAGTATAAGAACTATAAAACTTGGTTTTATGCTTGTTTTTATAAGACATATAAAACTTTGGTTTTAAAAGTACTGAGAAGAAGGGACACTATTAGTTTGTTGGATCACATCAATTACATGAAGCTAAAGTTAACTACTGAAAGGGGATTCCCTGGCTATTCATGGAAAATTTCAAATACCCAAAAGTCAGATTTGCATAAGAAGTGATAAATATGTTGTATTCTTAAATCATAGCATGATGTCAACCCCAATGTAACAAGAGTAACTCTGGTACCTCTGTTCTTGGTTAATCAGTGAAACTCTTGCTTTCTGTATTTGTACCCATTAGAAAGATTCATCTAGTCCCCACTGCTTTGTTTTTGTTGGTTTTTACAAAATGAGTTTCTATATCAAACATATTTCCACCCGTCTCCATTTTGTTGTGTTTCACTGAACTTCATCCACACCAGAGAGGTTGAAAGCAGAGCCAAACAGGCAGAGGAAAAGTTTGATAAGGTAAATGAACAGCTTCAGTTTACACTCATAAGGAATAAAAACTTGGAGAAGGAACTAAAGGAAATAGTCATGAGCTCTAAAAAGGAGGAGATACAAGAAGTACCTGAAAAAGTACCTGAAAAAGAAAATGAGAAAGAACAAATCAACGAAGAAAAAGAAGAGAAAGAACAAAACAACGAAGAAAAAGAAGTCACAGAAGCAAAACAAATTAAGAAAGTGAAAGTTGAGGAGGACGAGGGAGAAGTGGAGGAGGAAGATGAAGGAGCCAAGCCACTAGAAACTTGCGCAAAACGTAAGAAGAAAGGTAAGAGCTGCTTTCTTATTTTGCTTTATTTAGGTTTTATTTATGAGATAAAACTTGACTAGCACACAAATACATACACACACATAATTTTTTTTTGTCTGTCGTGGGGCCTGGGCCAGAGCCTGGGCGCTGTCCCTCAGCTCTTCAGCTCAAGGCTAGTGCTCTACCACTTTGAGCCACAGCACCACTTACTGTTTTTTCTGCTTATGTGGTGCTGAGGAATGGAACCCAGGGCCTCATGCATGCAAGGCAAGCACTCTACCACTGAGCCACCGTCCCAGCCCAACACACAAATATTTTAAAAGAGCTTTTGTGACTTTAGTGCTGATGGTCTTAGTCTGTATTTCTCAAAGGCAGCCACAGGTGGGTGTATACATTTGATTATGTTATTGACACAATTAACAAAATGGAAAAACAACTCACAATTGTAGATGAATAAACTAACTGAAATACAGTCTGTACTTTAAAAATTGCCAGATGGCTAGTGTGGCTTAAATGGCAAAATGCCTATCTAACAAGTACAAAGTCTGCAGTGCTATACTAGTAATAATAATAATAATAAATAGCAATAGCTTTTGTTGGAGGAATGGCTCAGTGGTATAGTATCTGTCTGGCAAGCATTAGGCCCTGAGTTCAAATCCTAGTACTGCCCCCCTGTCCCTCCCCAAAGAAAAATAAGAAAACTAAGAACCAAAGAAAAATAAGAAAAAAACCTGGCAGAGATTTTTCAAAATGAAAGTTGCTTATCAGAAGTAGCAACTTAGAAGTAGCACCATGGCTCATGCCTGTCATTCAAGCTACTTAGGAGGGTCCCAATTTGAGGTAGTCTGGACACAAAAATTCGTGCAACTCTTTTCTCAAATAATACCTGGGCATAGTTTTATACCCTGGCATTGTGGTACATCCACACCAGCACAAAAAAGGGCTGGAGATGGTACAGCACCTCCTTAGAAAAGTGCAGGGCCCTGAGTTCAAACCTCAGTACTACACATACTCACACACAAGTGGCGCGACATGGTTTTGCAGATAATACATATGGGAAGAAAAGCAGGTTAACCTTTTAGAATAGAATTCGTTAGTCTGCGGGATAGTCCTTTAAAGTGTTCATATACTTCTATCTAGTAACTTCAGTCCTGAGACTAGACTCTAAAGAAATACTTGGGCAGGGACTGGGAAGGTGGCTCAGTGGTAGAGCCTTGCATGCATGAGGCCCTGAGTTCGATTTCTCAGCACCACATAAGAAAAAAGAAAAAAAGCCAGAAGGGGCACTGTGGCTCAAGTGGTAGAGCGCTAGCCTTGAGCTGAAGAGCTGAGGGACAGCGCCTTGGACCAGAGTTCAGTCCCCACGACCAGACCCAAAAAAAAAAAAAAAAGGAAAAGAAAAGAAAAAAGAAATACTTGGGCAGGATGATGTGCATCTACTGTCAAGCTACTCGAGGCTGAGGCTGGAAGATGCTTGAGTCAACAAGTTTGAGACTGGTATGGGCAATGTAGCAAGATACCATCTCAAAGAATACGATAAAGTAAAATTGAACAATCTTAGGAGCTGTAATATAGCTCAGTGGTAGAGCACTTGCCTAACATGAGTGTCAAGGTCCTGGGTTTGATCCCCAGCACTGCAGAAAAAAATCCTAAATACAAGAAAAAAATTAATGTACAGAGTGTTCAGTGTATTAAGTGTAATAGCAAAAATAGAAACAACCTACTTTTTTAATCATGGAAGAAAGATTAAATGAAATTTTTTTTCTGTCAGGATACTTGAATACCATACAACTATTACAATGATTTTACAAAGAGCTTGTAATAACAGGATTTTTTTTTTGTTAAAATATCAAATGCAGCCAGGCACCAGTGGCTTACTCCTGTAATCCTAGCTACTCAGGAAGCTGAGATCTGAGGATCAGAGTTTGAAGCCAGCCCAGGCCAAGAAATCCCTGAGAGACTCTTATCTCCAATTAACCACTCAAAAACCAGAAGTGGAGCTGTAGCTTGAAGTAACAGAGCACTAGCCTTGAGCAAAAGAGCTGAGGGACAGTGCCCAGACTCCTGAGTTCAAGCCCCACAACCAACAAAAAATAATAATAATAAATTATATATATATATATATATATATAATATAATATAACAACTAGAATATGGCCTGGAGTTGGTGGCTCATGTCTGTAATTACAAGTATTCAGGAGGCTGAAGCCAACTCTAAAGGAAAATCCCTGAGACTTATTTCCAGTTAACCAAATTAAAAAGTTGGAAGTAAAGGCATGGCTCAGGTAGTAAAGGGCCAGCCATGAGTGAAAAACCCAAGATATGGCGCCTGGAATTCAACCCCCACTACTGGTGTGCATGCACGTGTATGCGTACACAAACACACACGCACCCATGCAGAAATAGAATATGAGCCAGGTGCCAGGATCTCAGTTCAAAGTTAGCCCAGGCAGGGAAGTCTATGAGACTTTTATTTCTAATAATATTTTTTTAAGCCAGAAATGGTGCTGTGGCTTACCTGGTAGAGCACTAACCTTGAGTAAAAAAGCTCAGAGACAGCACCCAGGCCCTGAGTTCAAGTTCCAGGACTAGCACAAAAAAAAAAAAAAAAAAGAAAGAAAAGAAAAAGGAAAGAAAGAAATAAAATATGACACAATTTTTTTAGGGCTACAAAGAATACCAGAAAGAAACATGAACAAACAGTGATAGACATTGTCTCTGGGTAATGAAGGTTATGGAGAATTTCGTCCTTATTTAATGGTTTGGTACTTGTTGGATTGTCTATTTTTTTTTAAAAGAAAACCTACTCTAGTTCTGCAGGAAAGGAATTAACCTTTTCATTTTCTTACCTCTATTTAGTGCTGTAGTCTGCCTACAGGTAATTCTCACTCAGTACCTCAAATGTTAGAGATTATAGTTTTGATTTTTACTTTCATCCCCATACTATGGTATGTTCCCAGAACAGCTCCAGGTTCAAGGGGGAAATATCTACTTCAGCTTTCTCCTATTGTTCTTATTTCACCTCCAGCAAAAGCAAAGAAGAGAGCCAAACTCACAGTCTCCAGGCCCAGGTAGAGGGTGCCAATGTAGAGGAGGAGTGTGAGGCCATTTTCTCTTCTGTCAGCTTTGAACTGGTGAAATGTTATTTATTCAAGTGTGACAGTCCTTTAGCTTTAGGTTCTGAATATTGGTGAACTGTTTTCATGAATTTTAAAACATTCCATTCTCCCAAATTCTGGATGCAGTAGAATCATTGAGTCAATTATCCTGATCATTTGAAAACTAGACCATTTCCAGATTTAGAGAGATGAGTATGCAAACCACATAAAAAAAAGTTATATGGGGCTGAGAAGGTAGCTCAGTGGTAGAGCACTTGCCTTGCATGCCTGAGGCCCTGGGTTCGATTCCTTAGCACCACATAAGCAAAAAGAAAAAAGCTGGAAGTGGCGCTGTGGCTCAAGTAGTAGAGCACTAGCCTTGAGCTGAAGAGCTGAGGGACAGTGCTCAGGCCCAGAGTTCAGGCCCCATGACCGGACCAAAAAAAAAGAAAAAATAAAAAGTTGTATGCTACTGGAGAAGTTACCTCACTATGGAATGAGGGACTTTAATATTGCCCATTTCCACAAAGCTCTTACCTGAGTTAAGGTAGATAAGTATATCTAGTTCTCCTTAGCTGCAAGCAATGACCTATATAAACACCTCACCTTAAGTCATTCATTCCAGATAACACCATCAAAGTCATTTCAGAAGCTTCAAAAGTGAAAGGTAAGAAGCTTTATGAAGCTTAAGGAGAGCTGGCCCAAGCAAGGGAATCTCCAGGCCATGTGGATGACTAGAACAGTTTCTAGGAGACCCCCAAGTCAGACTCCTATCTTAGCAGGTAGCCCCTTGAGAAGCACAGCTATATCAGACACTGCTATATTTGTATGGGTCCATGTAGTGAAAACTGTTTTCCATTTCAGTGAAGGAATGGAAAATCACGTGTGGTTAAAAAGGACACTGTAAGTACTGGACTTTAGAGAGATCAGGCAGACCAGGGAACATAATTCTTTTGTTTTTATGTCAGTCTTTCTAATAATCAGCAAATCACTGTGCTGCCAGCCATGAATGAAGAAAGGAATTGAAGGGAACATGATTTTTCACTGGGCCTACAACTGGAAATGGGAAAAGTATCCTAAAAGTATAGACACAGGTGACTAATGTGAGATGGAGGTGGCAGCAATCAGTCTGAAGGGTTCAACTTGGAAAGCTGGTGTTACAGAGTTATTTTTTGTATCCCTGGCCAGGGAGCGCAGGCTCCTGGGCCAGAGGCCAGAGCCCAGCCCAGGCATGGAGCTTAAGTATAATCTATCTATCTATCTATCTATCTATCTATCTATCTATCTATCTATCTATCTATCTATCCATCTAACCTCTTTCTCTCTCTCTCTCTATATATATGTATATATATATATATATATGTATATATATATATATATATATATATATATATATATATGCTGGAGAGAGTAGAGAGAGAGAGAGAATAGGGGATAGCAGGGGTCCAGGAATAGACTAAAGAATTTTCTGAAAACTATTGGGATCTTTTCCCACCAAGCAAGTCTTTTTCTTTTTCTTTCTTTTTTTGCTGTGTGACTACATAGTCTCCCACTGCAGGATAAAGAATTAGAACACCTAAACTTTGTGAAATGCCTGCTGTATCTCAATAATCAATTTAGAATAAAAGTTTTGGCTTGTTTGTATCTTCTGGGTTACTCAACAAAATGGAATTGAAAAACAAAAGCTAGCTGGACCACCAGTGGCTCACTCCTGTAATCCTAGCTACTCAGAAGGCTGAGATCTGAGGATTGCAATTTGAAGCTAGCCCAGGCAAAAAAAAAGTCCGTGAGACGCTTAT